GATATCAAGGGGGAGCTGTATTCAGACGAAGATTATTTTCGAGAACGGTACAACGATTCGTCTTCTTTCTCTAATAATTTAATGAAACGTCAAAGCTTTCGCGCTTTGCGCAGAAGGGGGTGGGTGGGGGAACTAAATTTAGACAAGGATTAAGAGTCGAGAACGGTACAACAAAATCGTCTTCTTTCTCTAATAATTTAATGCAACGTCATAAGCTTCGCGGAGGATATGGAGGGGGAAACTCGCCCCTCCCTGCACTACCCCCTATTACGTCACTGCTGGTCACCATTACGTACCAATATTTGGCTCGCATAATTTCAAATTAATACAGACCGATAGGAAAAATTATGCCTTACATGAGTAGGTTCATATGCTATTTTTTATCCCATAATGAGAGAGAGAGAGAGAGAGAGATGCAAGTGGAGAAGGCTGAAGATTTATAGAAATAAATAAATTGCAAGAAAATTGAAATGAAAAGGAGCAAGATAATAGGCCTATTTCTTTCCTTTCTCTCTTTTTTTTTTTCTTAAAGTTTATCTTTGGTTTCTTTTTCACATTTTTCTTTCCTTACTCATATGCCAGGCGCGGATCCAGGATTTTCCAAAAGGGGGGGGGGGGGGGGGGGGGGGGGGGGGGGGGGGGGGGGCGGAAATTCCAAAATTGCGCAGACCGTTTTTTCAAGGTCATATTAGAAGCAGCATACCGGTACAATTTTGGACATTTTCATCGGGGGGGGGGGGGGGGACTATAGCCTCTTGCCCGAAAAAATAATTTTCTGGTTTCACAATTCGGCTAGTGAGCGAGCAACAATTTGACCATAATATTGTGAAAGTGTTATTTATCACCAAAATAAACGAGAAAAGATATAAAACAACTCATATTCGGGCAGCTCGCTGCCACCCCCCTCCCAATTACGCGCGAAGCGCGGAAGCTTTGACCTTTTCTTCATTATTAGAGAAAGACGATTTGTTTTACCGTTCTTGACTCCTATTCCTTGTCTGAATTCAGTTTTCCCCCTCCCGCGCGAAGAAAGCTTTGACGTTTCATTAAATTATTAGAGAAAGAAGACTATTCGTTGTACCGTTCTAGACTCTTAATCCTTGTCTGAATTCAGTTTTCCCCCTCCCGCGCGAAGCGCAGAAGCTTTGACGTTTCATTAAATTATTAGAGAAAGAAGACGATTCGTTGTACCATTCTCGACTCTTAATCCTTGTCTGAATTCAGGTTCCTCCCGCCTGCGCAAAGCGCGGAAGCTTTGACCCAGTGGCGGATCCAGGGGGGGGGGGGGCCCGGGGGGCCCGGCCCCCCCCCCCCCCCCTTGAGAAAAAAAATCATGTAAAATCACGTGATTTTTACCTTTTTGGGGGGTTGGGCCCCCCCCCCCCCTGGCGCTTGTACCGTTCTCGACGTGTCAGAATTTTCAAAAATGTTTCTTTGTCTGCTCCTTTTTCGTCCTATGTCATCTTACTGCCCCTACCGCCTTTGGCTACGCGCCTGCTTTAAAGGGAAAATGAAACAATCATGATTGTGATGGCACACAATTAGGTTAGTAGAAATGAAATGGAAAAAGATCTATTACACCAACCATGGATAAATCACGGCCGGGAGCGTCATAGTTTTGTGTTATCGGGCGAGGGCCGCGGCCGGCCGGGGGGCGTAGCGACCAAGCGAGATTTTTTCAATGTTGAATGCTGAAATTATGCATTCTAGAAAATCCCTGAGCCCAATATGTACGTTCTTTTCGCTATATTTCTTTCTAGCTATATTTCTAAATTTCCTGGGGGACGTGTTCCCCTATCGGGCCCAGGATTGCCGCCCCTGTCCATGATTACTACCAATATGAGTTCAAATACAAGCACAAGCGAGATGGTATGAGCTGAATCCAAATGAAGGGCAAAATAAGAGTTGTGAAGCGGCCCTACCGTTAATTTAGAATTTGACTGTTGAGTATATAACTTCTATTTAAAAGACACCCAAAATATTGTGCCCTTTCAAATTTCTCACTTCAGAGTGATGACCTTTGTAGCGCAGGGGCTGTTCTTAACGTTTAAACTTCAATCCGCGGCTCGAGATTTTATGCGGCCGGCCCGGCCCCCCCCCCCCTCTATTCAATAATTTCGTTATCTTTTCTCTTCTCTTTTCTTTTCTCTTCTCTTTTCTTCTCTTTTCTTTTCTCTCCTTTTTTCCTTTCTCTCCTCCTTTCTTTTCTCTTCTCCTTTTTTTCTCTTCTTTCTTTTTTTCTCTTCTTTTTTCTTCCTTTTTTTTGCGCCGCCAATAGGGGGGGGGGGGCCGCGGCCGTTTCGCCCCCCCCTAGATCCGCCACTGATATGCTGTGAAGAATTATTTCATCTGGATTATATGTTTGTCACGAGCTGACAAAAAAAAAATGAGGGGGGGGGGGCTCGATGATAATTCATCATTTGAAGGTTTACAAAAATGTCCATGGGTTATATGCACCCACTGAAGAAAATCCATGTATAGGGTTGCTTCAGGAACCCCAGCACCCACAGATCCCACGCATGATGAGACAAACTCGAGATAAAAACACATTCTTTCACATAGGCCTACTTATTAAACGCCCCCTTACCACCTGCGTTAATTACTCCCTATTCAAATCTGACAGATGCCCCTTTTACCTTTTATAAGTGCCACTGTTCCCTTTTCATAAGTGCCTCTTGTGATATCTGATAAAAGGCTTTTTTATTCTTTACTTTGTCACGCGTTCCCTTATAATTTTTGATAAGTGCCCTTTTACCTTTTTAATAAGAGCCCCTTTCCTTTCTCATCAATGTCCTTATGACACATGCCTCCTTTTCCTTTCTCGTAAGTACCCTTTTCCTACTGATAGGTGCCCCTTTTCCTTTTTTAATGATTCCCCTTTTCTCTATTTCTCTCCGAAAATTATCTTCTGCAAGGTTTGTTCCATTGACTGAACAACCTCTTGCAATTCCTTTCTGTCTCACTTTCAGTCGTACTTGTTACCACTCATTTGCATTCCCTCGTTATCAACTACGATCAACCATTCCATATTCACTCCATTACTGTCCACATTTCAATTGGATTCTCTTCACTCTACCTTTTGCAGCCTTTGCAGAATCTTTGCTAGAAGTAGAACATTTTTAATTTAGGGTTAGCATTTTATTCAAGTTTTCTAACTTGAAAAAAGGAAAGTGAACCATTGTTTAATTTCAATATCTTGACAATTTTTTTTTTTAAAGACAATTGAATTTAACACTAGAAATTTTAATTGGTTTGCCCCCCCCCCCCCAAAAAAAAAAACAAAAAACACACACAACACCACCACCGAAGTGGTACCAGGGTTTTGTTAGGAGGCCATGTCCTGTATAATTTTTATTTTTAAGAATAGTTTTCTCTTTTTTTAATTCACTTTACATTGGTATACCGTTAATTTCACTGGGGAAACAACCCCCCCCCCCCCTCCCATTAACAATCAACACTGCCGTTCAGGCGCGGATCCAGGATTTCTTAGGGGAGGGGGCCCAACTTTTGTTTTGTTTTTGCTCCCCCGAAAAATTGAAAAACGCGCCGGCCAAAAAAAAAATTTCAATTTGCACCCCCCCCCTTGAGCGCCAGGGGGGGGGGGCCCAATCCCCGGGCCCCCCCCCCCCCTGGATCCGCCACTGCTGCCGTTACTTCAACCAACACTAATGCTATAATTCAAAACTTTTCACTTTCTAAGTCCTTCTAATATAAACATATAATCATATGTGTACACTATTGCAACCCGTTACATGGGCCATGTAATAATAGCCCCCCCCCCCCCCCCCCCCCCCCCCCCCCCCCCCCCCCCCCCCCCCCCCCGTCCATAGAGGTAAATGAATTTCAACAAGTATAATTATAATTAAAATATCATTAATTAATTCAATCTTTGATATGGACTGATAGATCTTTATCACTCAAATTTCAAGGAGAATCTTTCTGCCCAGTCCTCAGTTTCATCTTATAAGATGGTAGTTTACATTGTTAGAATTTTAATGTTTATTCATTGAGGATTAGTTATCTTTAATTATTTCTACGTTGACAAGATAATAAACTTCATTAGCTTTATTGAATGTGGTATTCTACAAACATATAATACAAATAATAAATAAATATCATGTAAATATTCCAGTTTAAACCCATCTATATTGTACACTTTCATAATATGAGGGTGGCATCTTTAAGACGTAGTCCCGTGTAGATGTCTTCTGCATTCATCACTAAAGTTGTAGCCTAGTTTTCAGAAGAAAGGGCTGTAGTGATAACCCAAGTCTGTTGAATGGAAAAATGAAATAAGATATAAGAAAATCAATGACGACTAATAACACACACCCTGATACCTGCTCAGAAAAAGGAAGGATTGAAATTCACTTGGGGTTCTATTGGGCAAACCGAAACTATTTTTCGTACAAGACTAGTTTCTGACCACATTTTAGATTATTTCTGATGATCCCATTGAGACGATAGGACTGCTGGAGTATGGTTCAGACAAGGTATGAAATAAGTAATACAATGTACTTGTGATGTAAACTCGTGCTCATTATTGAATAATACTCGGTTAAAGGTAATACAAAGTTTTACGAAATTTTGAAAATTGGGTGGATAGTGATTCTTTACAATTTTGATATATTTGAATGCCCCTGTGGATGTATTATAAGCACTAGAAAACTTAGCCTCTAAAACACTTCTGCTTTCGAGAAAAATTGAATATAAATATTTACTGGTGCTCCCGGTAAATTTTGATAAATTTCAAATGGTAGCTGCGACCATGAAAATCTCAGAATATGTAGATGTGATATATAACTTCCAAACGAGAATAGCAAATTGGTCGATTTTAGTCAAGAAAAATTTATATCTTGACCTTGAGAGGGAGCTATACAACATAAAGAGTTTATTATTTACAATTTCATAATTTTAGACTCGATTACAACCGCGACAACGATCACTGAATATTGTAGGATCTCATATGCGTCCAATATGTTCATTAATTTGAACCAAATTTATGACCCCATACTAAAACTGTGTATTACCTTTAAGTATGGGACATAAAATGACCAAACAACTTGGACCAGAGAATATACTGGAAATAATGCTACTGAAACACACGTAACGTAGACTTATATTTCATCTATATTGACATTTAATTTTTAATCTAAATCACAATTGTGATATTCAGTCAATTATTCGTCAGATCTATAATTTTCTGCATGACATGTGTTCCACAAAAGTTTATTGGGGTACCTACATATATATTAGCACACTTGCTCGTATGAAGTGTAGTAGGCCCGCATCTCTAGATATGATCCCGTCAATATCTCTTCTTTGTTCCTCTCCTGAGTTTGTAAACCAGCATGCCTTCATCACCCACTGTAGAGAAGCATCATCCTACATGACAGAAAACAAAGTAGGTACTTCAATTTAAAACTGATACTAATGGATACATATCAACCATAATACATCCTATAAACAGACTTTCATCTTATTTTGTGTTCTTCTTCATCTTCATTGCTCAAGAAGTGAAAGGAGCCCTTACAAAAAAGTAATGAGGGGTCCTGTGTATACCCTACATGTAGTGCTTTGGATGTGGATTAGATATGGCTCTTCTACACACAGGCCAGGTCCCCCCCCCCCCCCACTCAGGGGTCGGCAGGACCGCATGCGTATTCCCAAAATGTCCAGTAAAGGGGTAGTTTTCACAAAGTCTGGCTCATAGCACACAAAAATCCGGCCCGTATTGACTTTACACACCAGACTTAGGGGGTGTTTTCAAAAGGAGGGAACACGCATACGCATACCCCAAATAACACTGAGTGGGGGGGGGGGGGGCGGGCACACAGGACCTCCTTTAAATAAGGACACATTTTCCTTTGTAAACCAAAAAAATTAAAGACATCAATATTTCTCTTTCCTTATCTTCTTCTCAACCCCACATGCAGCTCATCATTTAGTATTTTTTTCTGTACCCTCGATCTCTCACTTCTTTTTGTCATTGTCTACTCTTTGTATGATTATGACCATGTTCTTCTATCTTTGTCGTGTAAAGTATTGTCTTGTCCCTTTCTCGTCTCTGTTGGCATCCCCATTTTCTTTCCCCTATTTTGTAGTTCCATTTGTAATTACAGAATAGTAAATTTAATTACTCATTATTCCTAAGTTTCATTTGAGGTGTTCACACTTGTACAAGCATTGCTTTTTAGTGGACCCCTCTGTTTCCAACATGTATTTCTTAAATTTGTTTTAAATGCTTATAATTATTTGTAATGTTTTGTTGGAAATGTGAATAAATTTGAAATTGAAATTGAAATTGTATGCTAGGTGCAGAACTAGAATAAAATATACCCTCCACTATATACGCTAATAATAATAATAATAATAATAATAAAAATGTTACTTATAAAGCGCTCACCACCGAAGTCTCTAAGCGCTATAATTGCAACGTCAACTTAGTTCCATTTACTTTGTTAGTGAATTAATACATGTAGGTGATCGTTTAATATTTGTGTGCTAAATAACCTGGTAATTTTACCTGCATGGGACTTTCTGCTTCATGTTGTTAACTTCTTTCAGCTCTTTAGTTTCAATCTGTTGGAACAAAAAGAAGGAAAAAACCAATACAATAATCAAGGCATCCCTTTCTCCTTAACAATAAAATAGATCAAGCATAATAGCTATTTTTTATGTCATGGTTGGCCTTAAATTTAACATGGTGTGGAAATCAACATTCCTATTTAATGAACCACAGTACAAAGTAAAACTAATGGAATATTTAACGTGTACCTCACACAGTGCTTTCTATGGCCTATAAGCACGAAGAAGTACTAAGTAGAATTAGTTTATTATAACAAGAAGAGGTGGACTACAGATAAGTAAACATAATTGTGGACTAGGGGTCATTTCTTATACAACGTCCAACAAAAATATATTTATCAACATGAACTGCACAATTTGGAAACAAATCTTAATTTAGACTCCTTATGAATATGAGTTATGACAACTAGACAAGCATGCTGGACCCACACAAAATCTAAACATTAAATAAACAAATCCTAGACTAGTTGTTGTTTTTCGAATATTTTTATTAATAAGTTCCAGGTTTACATCTAGATCTAGGCCTAAATAAAATAGGGTTTGGAGTTGTTTGATTATCCATGGTCACAGATAATTCTGGTCTGAAGTTGACACCACCAATTTTTCATTTCATTTCATTTCAAAGACTTTATTTTCTGCGATCAAACAAATCAGTTATTCAACAAATATGGATAATTATATAAAACATAAGGTATGCAAACAATATACAAAATATAGAAACAAATGTATAATACATGAGTAAGAGTAAATTTATACGTTGGGCCATTGCGTGTATAATTGCAAATTTGAAATATAGTGTGCTGAAATTTGAAAATCGTGCCGGCCAATATTTTGCTCAGTGGGGGGTGGGGGGGGGGGGGGGGTATTGAGTACCTCAACAGAGTCCACGTCTAGAAGAAGGGTCTACTAAAGATTTTAACAAGAATTAACCCACTTGGATTATTAAAGAAATCATACTTCATAGATTATTTCAAGGTAAGTTAAATCTAGATTTAAATTCAATCAATAAATTGATGAATTAGATTCATGATGACGATCAAATTTGCAGATGAGCACCGCAATTCCACGGGGTGGCCCTGCCGGAACCCCGGGCCCTAACTGGGTGACATGACGGCAAACCGCAGTCAAACTACTTCACGACGATGAAAATCAAAGTGCAATTTGAAGAGAAATATTTCCCTAGCCTTTTCCCCAAATATCTGTTGAGAACAGTCTCAAAATGAAAAGAAATTACCGAAGATCACGAAAACTATTACAAATTTTTCAAAATTAATCACTAAATTCACTAAATTCACTCATATTGCAATCAATTACTCACCCATTCTCCGACTTTGTTGTCAGCTAGCTAGGCGCAGGCGATACGTACTCGTACCGTACACACACAAATCATACATATTACGGTGACGTCATGACTAGTCTTAGTAACAAGCGCTTGCAATTATAAAAATATTGATTAAACACTCACGTCACGTTTTGGAAGACGTGATCATTCGTGTTTTACCGGCGTGGAAAACAACGAATGGTAGACCCTACACTTCGTAAATTAGAGTCACCTATTTTACGAAACAGCGCAAAACGTGATACGTGATCACGTGAACGTGAACGTGAGTGTTCGTTGCAAGCCCATGTACAGTTATACCATACAGTATGTAATTTGGAAGCTATTATCCAGGTGCCATGATGGGCGGTCAAAGGTATTCAAGGAATTTCTTCCAAGCAGGTAGAATAGTCAAGAAACAGCTGTAGAACAAATTATGTCTCTTCTTTTTCCCATTTTATCATTGAGAAGCCAAGAGACATCTACATATACATGTACCTCAAGGAAGTTTCTCTAAAAAGCACCGGCAATTAAGAGAAAAGTTATGTAACATTATATTTAAAAGTACCTATAATCAAAAGAAATTACAGAACATAAAATGTTTACAAATACTAGTGGATCAAGAATATCAGAAATATTTGACAATCTGAACTTTAAATCAGACATCATCTTTCTGAGTATTAGGAAAGTTATTCCTGAAGAATCAATTTCATATTTTCCAATGTAATATCTCATATCCTTTTTCACAAGGTGGGGTGGAATACCTGACCTAGATATGACAAATCCAACAACTTTTTGCTTCATATTCCAGGCATAGTTCAACCCTGAATAACAATCCCCCAAATGGCATCAGAAAAACAACCCCCAAAACAAGATATCCTTGACTCTGTAGCCCTTTCTTCATCAGCCTGAAGTTGCAAAATAACCCGCTATTTTAACTAGCCCGATCTCAAATTAGCCAAGTACACTGTAATTTGCGTCTTCATTAGCCTGCAGTTGCAATTAGCAGGCTATTTGGTCAAGAAAATGTTCAGAGAAATGTTGGTCTTGTTTTCAAAATAACCCGCTATTCGGAAAATAGCGGGCTAATTTGCACTTCACTTGTCTTCATCTAGTTTGAGATGAGCGTATCGGTCTGGCGAAGGCGCAAATTCGAGCTTCAGGGAAAATAGAGGGTTATTTTGCAACTTAGGTCAGATGAAGACAGGCCTTGTGAGACACGTGATCACTAGATGATGTGGCAGCAGAATTGAGTTTGACCTTTGACATTAGAGTCTAGTCTATGACTCATCAGATGCCAAAGTCAGGTCTAGAACCCTGGTAATAACCTGAACCTGTCAATGTCATCATGTACAGTGTGCATCCTTGAAGTCACACTGTATGTATACATACCATTACTACACGTACATGCAAGTTCATCACACTTTATCTCCATCACTCCCAAAGCACACAGGTGCCAGTATCATGAGTTAAAATAATGACCAAAAACAAACTTTTGTTGATGTATAGCAACAATGATGCAGATGTAAATGTATGCATTGATTGTGCTTTAGGGGTTCAAAGCCTAGCTCAAACTTCAAAATAAAATTTAGGCTACCCAAAGCATTAGGACCCTATAAGTAGCAAGTCCTGTTTTGTTACACTTTTTACCATTTTCAACCATAATTAAAGCTTCTCATATTTTATTCTAATCTTAGCAGTCATAATAAAAACACAATAATGATAAATACTTCTACTAGCCATGTGGACATGTATGTCTATGTGTTTTTAGTTTTTAGTGCATCCAGACAAAAACATATCACTATCAATAAAACTTGGATGCTGGTGTGAGGAAAAAAGATTTTTAGGGGGAAACTTTGAAATTTATATTATCGATATAAAGAAAACAATTACCCGGTAGTGGACACTGGATAGTGAGGCAATGACCTCACAGACTCGTCAATGAGTTGCCAATTTGTCATGTGATTTTCAAAATTTAGTTTTTCCTGTCATTAATTATTAGTTATCCGATTTTGCTCAACCTTTTTTAAAATGGTTCATCGATTTTTCTGCTTCTAATGAAAGTAATTTATTTTTGGAGTGGATTTGCCCTTTAAGCTTGATATTACCTAAACTTTCAATTCATTGACATCATGTCACGAACTAGTAACTACTATACTAAGACTTAAAATTATGCTCTGGACACTTCTTTTGGTGCCATTAATTTTGCCAAGCGAAATGTATACATTTCTTTATGGTAAACACAATTTGTTTTCCTGTCAATTGTAGGACTTTCCACCGGTACCTGGAACAAGCCTGTAGAGATGCTGACTCAGTAATACTCAGTTATTTTACACAACACTAGTATACAATTGACATAATACAGAGCTAAACTCCTCAATTAGCACTAGGTGCACATGTAAACAAATTGATGACAACACCAGCTATATTGGTCTGAACTTTGCTTACCGGTACTTTAAAGGTACGATGTCCCTTTTGCAGCCAACATCAAATTTTGTAGAACTTTGCAAGAATTATTAATATGTCATGTATGTACTATCTCTGAAATTTAAACATTAACAGTGTCCTAATATTCAAATTATACAAGGAAACCCGTTTACTTGCTAGATTTCACTGTCAGACACTATTGAATGACTGACTGGCTTTTTTCATCTTTGGTAATAACATACATAAAATGAGCTGTAAAGGGTACATGAGCATTTGTCTACATCAATAACCCACTTCTTGTAATGGCCAAAATTTAACTGATTGAATCTTTGCGCAGCATAAAACGTACGACCATTCGGTACAATGGTCTAAAAAATCAGACTATTACTTAGTCGATTCGACAACTAATAGTCATTATTTTCCACTTAAAGACTTTCAAGCCCCCTTTTTTTTAGGGAAGTTCTAAATTAGTATTGTCTTTCAAATGCGGTTGGAATTTAACCTTTTCATTTTTTTGGCCTGCAAATGGGACATAGTACCTTTAAACTACCGGTTTCTAAAAATTGATTCTACTGTTGCAATTCATGCAAACGTGGCATTTTCCTATAGCAGAGATTTACTTTGTCTGGGGCAAGTTTGCCCATTTTGTTTTAAAGTTAGGAAATGTCTGACCTTGAAGGCTTGACCTGGAACACACCTTGACCTTTTGTGTAACATGGCAACTGGTTGCTAAGTGAAAACAGGAAACATCAGCTAAAGCTACAATGTTTTCAAAGTAGATTTGTGTTCTGGTAATGATTCCAAATAAAATCCCTACTCCCTGACAGATTACTAACAAATTGACACTTGATGTTTTGAGATCATAAAGAAATGATACTTGACAAGTAAAGATATCAGAAAATGTGTACATAGCTTTCTTAGCTGGAAAAGAGGATGGAAAATTAGGCCAATTAAGCTGATTTGCATGCTTATACAACTTAAAAATGTATTTGAAACATTCAAAGATACATTCAAAATAACTACAACAAACAAACGATATTATTATACATGTAGGAAGTAAAAAGGTATAAACATATAAACATAACATTTATAGCTTTCAAAACATAAATCCATGGATTGAAACCAGTGTATTGAATGATTGAATGGTCCTTTCTAAAAGAATCACCTTTCAGCTGTCATTCAGTCAAATTTAATGATAGGTACAACAGAATAGGAATATTAATGTTTTCCTGTACTACCTAATGCTATGGTCACATTACCCAAAAGTAGACTGCTCGGCGGCCGAGCGGCGAGTTTTTAACCAATTCTGCCCGGCGGCTGCCCAGCCACCGAGCGGCTGCCGTCCAGGCACCGCTCGTTTTTAGGGCATCGCTCGGTCGCCGCTGAAGTTTTAGCGCGGAGTTAAAATTTGGGCGGCGCCTGCTCACTTTTCACTCGCCGCCCAAAATACGCTCGGTGCCTGGGCGGTCGCCGCCCGGGCACCGACCTAATCGCTGGGCGATGCCTAATTCCAGCAGCGACCGAGCAGGCTACTGATCGGTCGGTCGCTGCTCTGATTTGTGACCATAGCTTAAGCGTGATACACTTGGATTCCATAATTCATGAAGATATCATTTTTCAAGGGATTGCTATTACTGCAAGTACATCTGTACATTAAGTCTATTAGTACATGTACTAGCTTCACAGAGGATATTGTGCAACAAAAGCTTTTTTGTCAAAAATTATCCTCAATATTTATTTCATAATCTGATTTAAAAAAAATTAATAGGCTAGAAGTTTATCAAATATTCTGACATACACTTGATACCATTCAGAAGAGGAACCTTTTTTTAAACTTCTAAAAAACTTATCAATTCTCTCTCACTCTTTACGCTACTGCAGAAACCCATAAAAAAAACCATTTGCTCGTACCAATATTTAGGTGATAAATATGCATGTGTAACTCGTCGGAGCTCTGCAAGAGTTAGCAGGGAAACGAGGAGAGTCACGTGAGCAAAAAATTTGTATTTTCACAGCAAAAATTGACGAAACTTTGGCGGGTGTTTTAAAAAACCACACTCCAGAGGTGGATTTTTTAATTTCGATTTTTGGTCATGTTAGAAACAACGGAATGTCACAAAAATCCAAATGTTTGGGTTTTGCAGTGTAAATGCAGGTAATGTCTAATCATTTATGGGCACCATACCCAGCCAGGTAATACACCCTACAGCCCGAACAGCAGGGAAACCTTCTTATTTAGGTCAACCCAGCTATGTACAGGTCAAATGCAAGGTCAAAAAAATTCTCCTCCATAGAGTCCACAGTTAGGTTTAGAATGGTGATTTAATAGGGATAAACTTACCTGCAATGGACAACATGGTACAGGTATGTATATCAATTACAAAAAGAGAAAGCGAAGTTCAGAAAAGATATTAAAGCTTACATGAGGCATGAGTATATTCATTCCTCATGAATAATGATAGCAAAAGTATAATACCGGTATTCTGTTCTATCAATATCACCAAGTATGCATGAAAAAGGAATAATGACAAACTTAACTTATGTGAAACTGCCATTTTGCTTTCTACCACTTTCTAAACTCCCTAGGAGAGTTGAGGGTTGGTAAGGTCAAGGCAGACTTACACATGCCCTCCAGCATAGAAGCTGGAAGCTACATATAACAATGTTCACATGACCATCATGGTTTTAACCTGAAGTATTTGAAACCTTGAAGTTGAAAACAACAATCCAGTGAAACGAACAATGACAAGGGTTCACACGGGACTGAAACAATGAGTATAAGATTGAAAGTTAACTACCCTGCACAAGCAGGAGAAAGCATACAACTGCTGTAACCTCTAAGTTCAACTGAATCCACGAAGAACTAAACTTTGAGTGATGACCACCTGCTGCTCATATTTATCTCTAAATTAAATATCTGTCCTGGTTTGTAACTTCGAGTTAAGGTTTCGTAATTACGAGAGCATCCACACAGTCCCTAAAACTACAAGGTAAATTCAAAGTTTAAAACCACAACATAAACTTAAAGTTAGCGGACTGCCGTGTGAACCTCACATATGCCACTATCTGGAGCTAACATACTGTTTATGAGCTTGATTGTAATACAATGTGTATGTACTTCCATCTAGGGGCATGCTCTAGGGCATTTGAAGACAACATTAGCTACTGGTTAGTGACCCCACCATCTTACCTTCGGGATTGGGCCAATGTCATTTCCTACTCTCATGTACATCTCACTTGAGTTGAGATCCCCTGAGACAAGAGGTATACTCCTTTTCTAGACTTTTAAAATGGCTCAGAGTATGTAGGTATATGATATTACTTATTAGAGAACAAATTCTTGTTTTCGTCAAGTATTTTCAATTTTGGTAAAGTCATTACCGGTATCTTACATTTCCCTCAACCAAAGACTCTCCAAGAGACTAGGGGGTATTTCTTGATGGGACTATGGCTTTGCTGTGTGTAGGACTTGTACACCCATTGATGGTATTTCCACCAAATCTGGTATCAGTGAATTACGACCTACTGCTCATAGAAACTGATGACCATCTCTCTTTAAAGGTATCGTTTAACAATGTTAAACCTGAGATGCACGGCCCTACATGTTATCAGTGTCTGTAATATGGTGTAATATTGCAGACCTAAAACAAATGCGCTTCAAAATCATCAAGAAGTGCCCCCAAAAAGAAAAAAATCTTTGAGTGACCGGTTTTACCATACTTGTATCCCCAATAGACTGTAGTGTTATGAAAACCGTTAGGAAAACACAAAATTTAATTTTGATTTCCAATCATGAATATCTTGATAATCAGACAGGCGATCGGCTTGTAAACGTCACAGGGTTTCTAACTGACCTAAAGGTTTATAATTATCATTGCAAAATCCTAGGTTTTGTTTCAGAATCTGAGACAAAGTTACCCAATCCCTTTCAAAGTTCTACATAGGCAATCCAAAGTAAGCTATGCATGCAGGAACAGGAACTATGCACAGGTCTCACCTATAACATTACATGTATTTCAAAAAGGCATTTGTGACATAAGTCAAGTGCAATATTCTTTACAATGCTCATAGATCATGACTAATGTTTTTATAAGTACATTCAATAATAACATAGCTTCTGATTGGCTTACAGTGCAGAAGTTGATCTGCAATCCACTATAACCTGGCCCCTGATAAGTTGATATTAGAAGGTTGACAGCTAGCTCTTACCTGCTTTCTTGGCTGAATGAGCGAATGTAAGCATATCATCTAGATCTTGAGCGTAGTCTTTGAGAGGTTTGTAGGTAAGTTTATCGGTAGCTTCATGATTGAGATTGATCAGATAGGTAGAATGAACCATAGGAACCTTGAAAACTCCGGTCACATTACGCTTTACTATCTTCACATACTCCTTAGTACGCTTGTAAAAACCCTGTAATCAGAGAGAGAATAAATATGTTAATCATTTCAATATTTACTACCGGTACTAAAAAAACTTTGTTTGAAATATCAAATCTCAGTATGATTTCAAAACTTTTAATGAATTGTGAATGTTTGCCATTCTTGTAGCAGAATCCTAAAATCCATCTGAATATGACAATAATTCAATGTTGTGATTACCATCTGAGGCATAAGCTTTTTCTCATCAGGACCACATGTGACAATCATGTGGGTTCTCTGTTGAAGAGTAATCAAATATACCGTACTGAACATCTAGTTGAATTTCTAAAGTACATGTAGTCAGTATTACCAGACGTCAAGTCAATGACATAAATCTCATTTACATAAAATCATAAAACTATAAGTCTATCTGCAAATGTAATGTTTTAACAAAATATGTTTTAAACTTTGTTTTAACATAGAATCAGATTGCAGATTTCAAACCCACAACCATCAAAAAGTATTAGGCCTATACATCTAACTACCGTACTACGTAAGTAGCCCACTACATATGTTTATATGAAATACCCCAAACAAGAACTTCAGTATATTGCTGAGCAGATGGAGAGAAAAGAAGATGAAATAACACTTACCGGTGTAGTAGTAGAGACTTTACCCCCCCCCCCCCTGCCCCTCCCCTCACCCATTCAGACATCCCATATTCATTGTATGTCTATACAAGAATCATCATGCTAAATTTAAGTGTTGAATAGCTTTGTTTCTAGTCTGAACTGTGTAAAGCGAAAAATGCCGTATAGCAAAAGGCATGTTCCAACAAGAACTCATTTAATGCAGGACTGCACTCTTTTAGCTACTTGCGCCCTCTATATAGGAAACAATGCCTAAGCGGTGCCTGTTGTTACCTCATGTTCCCCTTTTTCTTTTGTTAATTGAGAGCTGATTTGATAAGATAACCACCTGTCAGTGACCTTGCAGGGAGGTCTAATCCCCCTGGCCAAACTAGTGCAGGCAGGCTTTAAGTATCAAGGTCCAGATCTGGTCTAAATGTAGTATTGTATGAAAATCATATTTATAACTGGGCGGGCTTATCTCGAACATGCACAGATGGTTGGCCAATTGTCATATCAACTGAACTCTTCAAAACTATAATGTACAGGTATGCATGCCTGCTATACATGTACAATGACCGTTTATTAAAAAAAAGTTAAAAAACATTTCATTTACTCCAGTCTGAACAGAGTAATGGAGTTTTGAGGGTTAAAGGTCACAAGATAGAGGTCAAATTCGACTGAATTTGATATTTATAAGTTCTAGATAGAACAGAGCAATCAATCAATCAACGAGTACTGATGGAGAAACCTGCACTACACAACAGAGATCAGTCTGCATCTAACAGATGGCAATGACTTTCATTACTGATAACAGTTTGTATTACAGGTCTGGTGGTTGGTTTATTTCCACCAGTACTCTATCAACCTACATGTATTCATGAAGTTATCTTGAATGCATCTTGAATGCATGCACTATAATATAATAACTAGGTAATATTTGACTTTTAAAATATGCTGTTATCTAACCACTCGCTAATATTTCAATAACAAAGAAAGCTCTCCTGGATAAAGCTACCCTATAACTAGCATCATTTAATAATGACATGATACCAAACAACAGGTGTCTGGCCCTGGAACAAATGTGGAAGTATCCATAACTTTGATTTATGTCATGACAAAGTGTTCTATTGAATAGTCAAGTTCTGTCTGTCACAAAATGTATGATGGGTTAAATTTCACAAAGTATCACCATAAATGCATCACTCATGGTTAGACCAGAGAATTAGTATTTCTCTGATTAGAACAATCTTATGTGCCACAATGTAAATTGAGGCCAATTGTTTCTTCATATTCCGCAATAATGACTATAATCAGTTACTAACATCAACGCAATGTCTACTTCAAAAATGCAATATTAGTTATTATAAGCAAATTACAACTATAAATTCATGTTTCTGACCCTTCGTTAATATTGCCAAGTCTAAGGACCTTGTAAATTCCTTTATTCTACACAAAATTAAATTAGTGTTAAGAAATCGACTAGTACCACTGCATAAATGCCTTGTCTTTTGAGTGGATTCATACGTGTTAGCATTTAAACAAAATATCATATGCCATAGATTTTAGCAGTTGCAAAAATGTGTTAACAATAACATTGTAACCACGACATCATTTTGTAAAGGCAAACATAAACTACATTGTAGATTGCTTTTCTATTTCCGACCTTTTTATGTTTTCTTAACATTTTCTGCTTCACTAATATTTTCTTTTGCAGCAGAAAAATGTGACTTTCCCATTGGAAAGCAAGTTCTACATATTTTTCAACCACACTTTTTATTCAGCTGAAGTGGCAGTGATATATAATAAGGAGGAAACATGAAACAGGGAGAAAAGGAAAGACACCAAGAAAGAGAGAAAGAGAGAGAGAGAGAGAGAGAGAGAGAGAGAGAGAGAGAGAGGAGAGGAAAAGAGTAAATGAGTAGGCCTACACTATGAGAGTAAGACTGGAAGAGATGTCTGAGAAAAAAGAAAGTCAACAAAAGTCAGAGAGAGAGAGTAAAAAGACATTTGTTAGAGGGAAGAGAGAAAGAGAGAAAGAGAGAGAGAGAGAGAGAGAGAGAGAGCCCCAAGAGAAAACTAATTATTAGGAGTAGACAAAGTTCAAATGACGAGACTCTCAGTTGGAAACAATCAAACATAGTCTAAAATAACCCAATGTTCTCCCTATGAAAATCAGAGTATCTGCATGCACATGTTTGTGCTTTTTAAATAAAATGAAGAAACTGATAATCAACATAGTTCAGACAAAGGACAGAGGTGACCAGTTCAATGTCATTCAAAGATTTATTCAAAACAACTTGTTTAACTTCCCAAGGTTACTTCAATTTGTAAAACTGTTAGTTGGAAGGAGTGTTAGTAAAAGAAAAAATATTATTTGAAGAAAGTACTACCGGTATTCATTTCATTTTATTTATTTATTAACAAAATTTCCTATTTTGCCTAGTATGGTGCAAGATAGTAGCTCTAAATTTTGAACTACCTGTATACTCATAATTAGATTGAGCAAGTTAAGGATGGAGAGAACATTTCTGCACATTCTGTGAAGTTAGTAAGACAAATTGCATAAAATTGACGATGACAATATTTATATTGATATACCTGTATACCCTTTCTAATCATATTAAATCATGTCGGCTTCGCTCATAATTCAATAATGACAATACTGGTATGTAAGTGGCCTGAATCTAAAATTAGCACTGACATTTGGTAGAAATCTCTAGGCCTGCTGCATCAGCAAAATCTTGGTACTGCTATACATTTACACTATACTTACATTTGAATACTTCTCGTTTGCAAAGGTATGTGGAAAGATATATACAAAGTTTTAAATCAAAAAATATTTATTTCTTGCATTAAAAATGAAAATACAACTTGACAGAGTGTCCATATCAATTTGTTGTTCACTGGAATCCCTCCTGTCAGCTGTAGGTCTGTCCACATCAGCCCGAGTTGGCCAAATTGCCCACTATTTTGTGATCTGGGAAATTAGCCGGAAGTACATCGTGTCTTCATCCGCTGGGAAACTCAAGAAATTTAGTTAGAGTTTCGAGAAATTTGCTCAGCGTTCGCGCATAGTGCGATTCTTCGGGCTGGTGAAGACGAACCGCAAATAGTGGGCTATTGTGCAAACTAGCCCAAGATATCTTGGGAAGATTTCCAAACCAAATAGCCCGCTATTTGCGTCTTCACCTGTCAAATAGCCCACTATTTTGTGATCTGGCTAATTTCCCGTTAGAAATAGCGGGCTATTTGGCCAACTCGGGCTGATGAGGACAGGCCTTACATGTATTTCAGTTTTTCCAGAATATGCTGTTCAAGGTCAGGTATTTCAGTTTTTTATAGAGTAAATATGGTACAAGGTCATACTACATTGAACTTTATCATGCATTACAGAACATAGGGAGCAAGGAATGGTATGTGGATGCACAAACTAAATCAAACATTCATTAAATAAAGGAAACACTTCATATTGTCCATGCTGCTAATTGGCTTATTATCATGTATTTTTCTTCTTCAAATTTGTGCATGTTTGTACTAGTATGCACAAAACAGACAAATTATACATTCCTTTTCACCCACTCTTGTTTGGCTTGTGCAGTAACAGTAAAACTATATTTTGATATCATTCTCTGTAAAAACATTTATTCTCCTTTTCTGAGCACCTGGGTAATTTCTAGTTGCTATCAATTTACATATGTAACTCTCGGCTTCCCAAAACATCCCATTAACCTTCCTTCTATCAAAATACTCTCATATTTGCTTTCCAGCATTGTGCAAAGCACCTTCAGTAATTCTCTCCTTTCCTTCTTCTTCAACCCCCCCCCCCCATCTTTTATTATGGCGCAAGGGGTTTAAATGATCAAAATGATCACGCATACAAACTCAGGTAATTTTAAAATATGAAGAAAAAAATACCTGCAGTACTGCATTGCTTGGCTGGTCTATTCAATTCCCCTTTCACCAAATCTGACTCCGCCTCCACACACATTCACATATATTCATAAAAACGCATAAATGTATTCATAACACTTTGACGTAGGACATATTAAAGATGATGTATTAAAGATAAAGACCAGTTATGGTCATGCCATTGCATTGTGAAAGAAACATTGTGAAATCGATCAGAAAAGGTTGATCATCTAGCATAGATGTACTGCAAGGTTCTGGAAACATCAAAATGATAAGAAATTTGGCCCAGTCTTCATAAAGTTACAAGCACTGTACACAGAAAGATGTATATGGGACTACGCACACGTGCGATTTTATCTCTCACAGTCCAATAGATAAACTAATTTACCAAATATATCAAATAGTAGGCGGTTTAATTTTTATCATCATGTATTATTCAAAACATATTCTTTCACATGATTGGTAATAAGAGCTTCCATTTCATTTCTTGAAATTGGTGCATTTCCAATACTGGTCTTTACCTTTAAGTACATGTATGACTTACTTTTGATGTGACTCCACCCCAGAAATTTGAGTAGTACGTAGTGGACTGAAGCATGGGTGCAATAATAGTTTTCTTCTCACTCATCAAAACATCCAAGATGTTCTGCTCCCAAACAAAGTTATCAACATCCATTGTCTGATGAATCAAAGATTTAAAAAAAAAATATTATTACTGTAATTCATTGACCGGTGAAAATAGAATGTCTGTTGAATGACAGATGAACACATAAATGGCATATTGAATGACAGATGAAAACAATAAATTACTCACCCATTCAATGACAATGCACTCCCAGGATTGGCTAAAAATACTTGAGACGCCTATTAAATGCTTCTTCAACCTCATACTTGCAATACTTAAACAAAATATTCTTCATTCTGTAGGATATCTGTTACCAGAATTCAAATAGACAGATTTTTTGTGTAAATAATCCAATACTATTATCAAATATTTTTCGATTAAAAACAGTATATCTTAGACCATGCATAGAGAGTATGACATGTAATAATCAAGATAAATTTTGTGCTGTGAAAAAATAATATGTGTAACAATAGAAAATAATAAGATCAATACAAGTTATTCCTGGATGTGCAATAACAATTGATGATGAAATTCCAAATAAAACCTGTACTATTATTATCATTATTCATTTTTAATCTCTTCTCCTCTTTTCTTTTCTAATTTGTACTGTACATGTATATTGTGTTTCTGTTGTATTTCCTTCTGTCTCGAATTGTATAGTATTACTTTGCAAATGCTATGTAAAACATATTTCCACTTTCTGTGGACAAGAATAACAAAAATCTATATCAATTATTATCAATAATAAATATCATGATTAGTAATTCATGTTATTACTTACATAGAAATAATCAGCCCAGACATTTCTAGCTTCTTGTAAAGCTTGATCTCTGAGGTCGATAAGATGATTAAATCTAGCAGACGGCCAATCATGGGGTCCCTTCTCCAAGGCGTAGACCTGAGGGTGCTCTTCAAACGCATAATCCACAGTGTGGTAATAATGTGCGACTCTTTGAATCCATTCCCTTAACATAGGGATTGTGTTGTCTACACTGTGATCAGCACGGATCCTGCAAGCAAGGCAAAGTGGAAAATGAAAATGATAATATTAATAACAATAACAACAATAACAACATCAATAATAATATAATTCATACATGTATCCTTTTAATGCTGGCAAATTGGTAGACCTAGGCAAAGACCAGAACTTCAGGTCTTGACCTTCGCAAGGGACAGATTACCTGTGCACTGGACATCTTCACTCTGGATACTTAAATGTTAGGAAAGACAATTTAACCTGTTGACTCCTGAATTCTCTCTTTCCCATACACACCACTCTATTCCAGAATGCAAAGAGTTTTTAAAAAAATGAAATAAAAAAAAATACAAAAAATACTAGTATATGATAAACTGGGTAATGCGCAATGTGAAGCCCTGGGTAAGTTAAGGGTGGGGTCTTCACCAAGCTGGTTTTCCAAGACTTATCCTTCTCCCTCTTATATATTTGACACAATTCATGTTTAACTTACAGAAAACAGCATAACCCCCCCCCCCCCACCCACTTTATTTCACCATTTAACTACAGGACTTTCTTAGTTTTCCACAAGATGCTTGATTGATGATTCTTCTTCTATAATACACCCTTTCCTATCCCTCTCACATTATCCTGTGTCTAATTAATACAAAATTATCTTTAATTTCCTATACTTCCTTCTTTGTACCCTTCTTCCTGTGAATCCTGTCCATCCCTACACTCACTCTTAGTGTTAGTTTTTTGTTCTTCAATTAGGCTCTTCAACGAGGCCCTTCAACGAGGCCCTTCAAAAAATCTAAATCCCCAGTTAAGATTCATCTTCTTGTCTCAGTTAACAGTTTAGAAATCATGATTTGTAGTCAGAAAAGCGTGTTATGATTCACACACCTACATGTACATGTACATGTTAGAGACAAGATTAGGTCTTTTTATCTTTGTCATAGAATGTAGATTGAACTGTGATTTTCAGCTCATCAATAGCTTTATTTACAACCAATATTGCAATATCAATGCTTAATGTGGAAATGTAATAATTGCTTTGTGATTTTGAATAAACATCTGAGACACACAAACATGTACAATATCTACAAAATATCTTGTTAAAGATTCTTTTAAAGGAGTCTTTATATTGTATTCAGTTACATGCAAGATTAAGTTTCCTGTTAGATTGGTGACACTTGTAAATTGCTCTTGCAAGTGGTTGGAACTAACTAACCAGCAATCCAACTTTTATTATAATAACTCCATTAGTGTGAAACTGAAAGCAGAAGAAAAAGGGTGCGTTTATGCTTGAATTTTGAAGGTAGAATGAGCGATCTGAAACGCTCATCGTAAACGCTCATCGTAATCGCAGTTCCACGGTGTACTGTTTATGCTCACTTCTCTGGCTCCTCCAGGCAAATCTGGCTGGGTGGCCTTGCAGCTGGATTCGCAAACCTGCACTGCGCATGCTACACAGACCCACTAGAGGTCAGTGCGTTGACCCCATTTAAATGCGTTTACAAATGATTGTGCGTTTATGCTTCCAAGAATCGCCGATTTTGCAGCATCGCCGATTGTAAACGCACCTTTTTGTGAGTTTACGATCGGTGATCGTGATCGCCGTTTTTCGGTAATTCTACAAAAATGAGAAAGGACGCAACCGTGTTTTGAACTAAACGCGTAACAGATGCCTGATTCTGGCCAGAAAAAGTTGAGCATAAACATACCTTAAGAGAAACAGAATGGTGATAGTTTGAAAATAAATCAGGCCAAAACAAGAGAGACTTTACGAATCTCAAATTGGCCATTTGGTCAGTGGATAGTGGCGTAGTCATGGGATAACTCTCACGCCTGTCATGTACATGTATACAAGTATTATTACCTGTATTGTCTCTTTCTCCTAGGCGCCTTCTTCCCTTGGGACACTACTCAAAATGTATCATGGATAGCATAATTATTACATTACAGGTCCTCCAAAACAAATTGATATTTTAATCATTTTGTATGTAGAAAGTAGTCCGGCACTACGTAAAAGTGGCATTACCAATTCAGCCAATTTGAAAAGGCCATATGTAGTGATTACAAATTTTTTAAATGTGCAATTTTCTTTCTGTTCGTCCGATTTCATTCAGACTCTCACCAGTCTGCTTCTCTGATTTTTCTGCCATTTTTTTTTAGATTAGTTGTCTGTTAAGGCTGGATTTCCCTTCATGTTTCAAAGTTTATTCTGTTGAGAAAGTGTTCTCTAGATGACTAGATGTATAGTAGGTCTTTTTTCTTGAAATTCCAGAATCCAGAATGTGGGATGATGATATTTTCTTTATCTTTAACATGATTGATTGACATGTTATAACACAAACTGTCAGGAGAACCCTGCAAAAATAAACATTGTGACTGCATCTACAGGGTATTGTGAAGTTCTTCTAAACCTCAGTCACACGTACGAGACTGACATTAGACCGACATCAGACTGACAATGATGCGAAGAAGACTCGATTAATGTGGATTTCATTGGGTGATGAGACTGACACATAAATTGTAAGTCTCCATGTAGTGTATGCTGATACAATGAAATGACAAATGTCGCCCACCGCAGATGTTTAGTCTGCCAATGCATTTGTTTTTAATAATAATAATAATATGGATATTTATATAGCGCCGGTATCCGCCAGGCTCTGACGCTCATGGCACTGTACATATTACTCTCACAAACATAGAACTTTCTTAACTTAAGTAAAATAAAGTAAACTAAAACAACATATTGGAAAGGATCCAGGATTACACAAAATAACAAAGCTAAGACCTCAGTCACATCAGACCCCGACAGCAGACCGACATCGAATAATTAGATTACACTGAATGGCCAAGAATCAGTCAGTATGGCTGTTATGTGTGGCAGAGGTATCAGATAAAGGAACTTGGGTGATTGAACTTGTGTAAATTATGTTTGCATGAGATGTGTCTCATACGTGTCTCACACCGTCTTATTTCTTGTTTGTTCGATTTTATGTTTGATCCTATATGTTTGACCTCATGTATGTTTGATCTCACTCTTATTTTTACTATTACATGTATATATACATGATTTATTGAATAAAGCACAGATGTATAAATTGTGTGTTTATTATAAGTTTTGGTAAATAATTTTTGAGTCAGACTATGGTGCGCTTAGAGACACCAGTATTAAGCGCCTAATAAATATTGTGTATTATTATTATTATTATGTGTGTGAAAGTGATCTTGTACCAAAAATACAAACCTGACTTTTTTTTTGTGGAGATGAACTACTGTATCCCTGCAAACTAGAGAGTAGATTGAAAATGAAAAAGGGATAGGTATGCAATGAGGTAGACATAACAAAAGTCAGACACCAATCGGAAATGAAAGATGAGAGATGACCACCCTAACTACAAACCATTTCCTCTAACTGATCTATTTTCCTGTCTTCATGATCACAAAAGGCCTGTCCTCATCAGCTCAAGATTGCCAAATAACCCGCTATTTTAACTATCCCGATCACAAATTATTCATCAGCCTGCAGTTGCAATTAGCGGGATATTTGGTCGAGATAATCATTCCAAGATATCTTGGGCTAGTTTGTAAAATATTCTGCTAATTGTCTGGTGCGTTTTCACCAGCCAGAAAACTCGCTGAGCAAACATCTCAAGCTATTTTCTCGAGCTCGAGTTGCAAGTTTCAACGTCTAGTCTCGAGCTGATGAAGACGCGATTTGTAACTTTGGGATTATTTCCCAAATCAGAAATAGCGGGCTATTTGGCAATCTCAAGTTAATGAGGACAGGCCTGATGACCAGAATTCAACCTTTTATCTCAGCAGAGACCTTGATCGTGAATGGCAAGATGGAGCTCCCGGGGGTAGGGCAATAAGGAGCTCACTGAGCAGCGTTTCACAAAACAGTTATGTAAGTACATGGTGTACAAGTTCGCCAACAACCCAATGTAATGTGTATAGAATAGAATTAAACACATGTTTCAATGTGATGTCGGGAACTTGTACCGGTACTTATGACAGTTTAATAAAAACGATGCCCTGATGTCCAAACGGTGACCAATAATTATTCAATGATTGTAGGTATAAGAAATGCAAAATCAAAACAATTTTCTACTTGTATTGTACATCACGTGCAATTGTACATGTGTGTACATACAGAAAGAAAATGGCAAAAATTTATGGATAGAACTTTTTAAATAATCACATCCCTAACCGAACAAATATATGTCTACAGGCTAAGACCAAATATGTTGATACTGTACATTACAAGATGACCATAAACAACTACAATATGGGTAAATAATTTATATCTCGCGCTGTCAAATTTGCAAAAATACAACATTTAATTTTTCAGTTTTCAATAGCTGTTTTCATTTTACAAACAAAATTTGCAAATATTCAAAGTCTTGTCAGACTTGTCATGACTTTGAAATGAGGGAGGATTGGCTACATTTTATGAATTACCTGGTACTCAATCTATTGTCGACTTGACTATATGATATTCAATGTAAAACGCCGCAGGGAAAAAATTAATATTTATTTTTCGGGGGCTACTTTTCAACCTTGCCTGTATGAAAATAACATTCTAAAATTTGTTTTGCTTTGAACTCTATGCAAATTTAAAGGGGCTCTTTTCTGATTTTCGGGGGCTCTTTGGGGTATTTCAACGGCTATTTCGCCCTGAGCCCCTATGTATTTTTTTCAATGTAAAACGGTTTCATTGGTATGTTGCTTGTTTTCAGTGTCCAGACACTCAAGGATAGCTTCAGAGTCCCTCCCACCTCCCTGGTTCAACCTAACTACATGTAGACTGTATGTGGATGTTGAAAATATTGGGTTGTCAGGTTCCTTCTGACAAGTGACAGATGAAGAATCCCCCTGCAGGCATGCAGGCCCTGCTTGACAAATAGAGTAGAAACTCATTTCCTCAATTTGAATTCGATGTCACCAGCATGTGCACTACCAAAACATGTAAGAGGAGCAAACAATACCTTTACAAGTTTTTAATATTGATATCAATTGATTAATAGCAAGTGACAGGTACAAAACTCTTAACAGCAGCACATTTCCGCCTCCAGAAGTAGAGCTATCAACTAAGAATGAGTAAACTGATTCATAACACCTGGCAACACCCATATTATAAATAAGATTGTTTTGTTACCACAGATGCATGTTAACCATGTACATGTACCACAGTAATAGCAACAATATTTTTGATGTTCTGATATACATTACTGCAGTGTAAAACCTAAATGCAGTTCTTATTGCACTTTTTTGTATCCCTTTCTGATCATTAAGATGCTTCAGATTTCAAAATATCACAATAATTGGCATCTTCTTAATCTCAAAGAAAGTCGCAGTAAAAGATGACTGAAATGATATCACACCCTTTATTGAATATAATAAATTTTCTTTACAATGTAAAATAAAAGACTGTACACTACTGACTAAAAAAATACATGTAGCGAATACATCTGAAAATCAAGTTGACCTTCCCTTGACCCCCACCTTTCAGATATGACCTATGAACCTGAAGAAGGACTCCCCAATGAGAAAGAGGATTCCTGAGTCTTGAGTCTTGACATCTTGGTCAGATGGGTACATGTACTGTTCATGTCTTATTAAACCTGTCAAAGATATATCGTTCCCATCATTGTTTTACCAGGGATAAGTCCCGGATAACCCTGGTTTTACCATGGTATTCTGTCATTTGTTTGTAGGCAACAGAGTAAGTAATGATCGAATTATCAAAATGAAAACAAAATATTATTTAATAAATTGTATCACAAATTGTAAACAAAACAAATTTTCAAGTATGTGATTAATGGATGATACCCTATCAAACTGAATTAAATTGAACTTTCAATTTCATGTAGATTTAAAATGATGATTACATTTGATTAATAACTCTAAATTTGATTTGATATGCATCTGAGAGGAAAACTTGAGAAATTCAGTCCATCAAATATCAAATTTTATTTCATCCTTTTATTTTCTTCATAATAACTTTAACTTTTGACATTACCTGAATTACATAAGATAGTATAATGACGCAAAGAAAGTACCGGTAATTCTTAGACTTGTAGAGGGCCATTCAACAAATTTGTTCCTGATCACTTGAAGCTCATCGAATCAATCTTCATACAGGGTCAAAATTTATTTCAAACAATTAGGTTCAAAATGACTAAACTTCTGTTTCCAGTGGTCATTGAGTTCTGACTTACTTACTTTAAAACATTATGGAAAAATATCCTGTTTAATATGAAAAAATCTAATTCAATTAAAAATTTTAAACGATTGTATAAATCCCATTTTTTATCATTGTATTCAATCTCTAATCGAATGATGCAATGCTTCAGTAAATGCACTTTGTAATGTATTCCCCTCCCCTTCCCTTCTCCTTCACTTTTTTTGTAGTATTGGGGTTCAGGTTTTCTGCTTTTCTTTTCCTTTTTTTCTTTTCTCAACAATACAGTGTATACTTTTTAAGGGGATGTCGTTCATAAGGCTAACTGCCCTTTTTGTTAACCCCACATTCCCATTAAATTTTGTTTGCTCCTTCCCTTTGTATTTTTTTTGTAATCGATATTTTATCTGTATAGACAGCAGTCGAGCTTGTATGTTTAATGTTTTTTATGGAGAATTAAATAAATGAAATGAAATAAAACATTGACTGATGATGCCTCAAGCCCTCCATGTCAGCAGAAAGGTCATTCCAAGAATTAGACCGAAAACTTCAGTCTCTCTAATCGTCGGCTCCACTATTGGGGAATGTCAACAAATGTCAGTTTTATTAAAGAAATGACCCAAATCAGATGGTTATTTCTGTCTATCCAAGAATTAGCTACCTTTTAACTGAAAGAATGTAGCCTTTTGCTGGTGGGATACTAAATATATTTTACATGCATACATGTACATGTACATGTAGATTCTACATCATGCACATTCAGTCCATTTCACTTTAGGCTCAGCCATTATTAACTGCCCGTATTTGGAACTGCTTGTTTGAAAATCTGACATTAACTCTCTCTCTCTTGTATCCTTCCTCCGCTCAGTAAAACATTGGCACGATTGTTAAAAGTTTTTTTTCAAAAAGACTTTTTTTTGGACAACCTACCCATCCAATTAATATATAAGGTTAAATGTATAGATCTACCGGCTAGTTCGCTAATCTTGAATTTAAATTTCCTTGATTATTATTTTATCATGTCATCATTTCGGCCATCTTCATAAAATCATGGACCCAAATAAAATAAACCATTTGAGATTAGAAGCATCATTGATGACTGCATCACAGATCACTTGCACCTGGATAAACAAGACACCAATCACTTCATATCTTTCATAACGTACACATACACATGCACACACACACACACACACACACACACCGTATTCATCTGCAAGAATCTGAAGGAGCGAAGGACACTCAATTTTCAAGGAGGCCCAATAAATATTATTTGATTTACTTCATTAATTTTCCACACACAGTTAAGAAGTAAGAAGTGCAAAATGCACATAATAGTGTACATTTCATACAATACAAAAAGGAATACACAGAGAAACAAGGTTATGAACAGGTAAATAATTTACAAAAGGGAAAATAATGAAAAAGTTCAATCTACATTATACTGTACATGTAGTAGCATATTAGTAGTAAATACAGATTGGGGGAAAACTAGAGCAATTTGCTTTGCCAAAATCAATCTCCCATATAAATTGCCAACCATATTGTAAAAGAAAGAGAAAGAGAAAGAGAAAGAGAAAGAGATAGAGAAAGGAAGAAAGGAAGAAAACAAAAAGAAAGGAAGAAAGAAAAGAAGAAAGAAAGAAAGAAAGAAAGAAAGAAAGAAAAAAAAAAGAAAGAAAGAAAGAACAAGAAGGAGGAGGAAGAGTACATGTAGGAGAACTGAGATGGAGGAAGAGAAGGATGAAGAAAAGGAGACTAGCTCAGCTCAGCTCAGTACTCACCATAATGTGATACGGTCTTTCGGGTAGTTGAGTCGCTCCAGGTAGCCGAAGAAATGGGGCAACGTATGTGCCTTGTTCCGAGCTAAAATTGGAATGAAAACAGTCGGTTTTTTAATCGTTATTTCTGATTCATATGCCGGAGGTGGGTTCGCCGCCAATACCAGTGAGATCGTCATGAGCGATCCCACCAAAATACAGCAGAAAAGCTGTGAATAAATACGAGAACACGACATCTTCGCCATAATCTTGACGGATTGTCCAAATTCTGGCGTAGCTACGTGGCGTATGCAGCAGACTGCTCACATTTCCTTCGGAAGCCAGCTGGAGTTCCACCCTGACCCGCCGGGATAGACATGCAGCGATGTGATATGGCTAATATCGTATTTCCCATTTTACGATGACCCACGGCATGTAGTATACAGTATAGAGACGTGTACAAATAATACATGCAATCAAATAATTGGACGCGTTCATTATTCTAAGGGGGTTTAATAAGTTGATAATGAGTCAGGAAAATAATATGTATCGAATTTGCTTCAGATGTCGACTGAAAAAAAATCAGATAATATAATTTATATAATATTATGAGTGATTACTTTTACATTACTAATCATCTTTCAATATTTCAACATTTTTTTTTTTTAAAATGTATCCTTGAAGAATCGACGCGTCCAAATCTTCCTTGTAATGCACTGTGCTATCCATGGCACACTCCTGCATCAAGCTCTCTATATAGAGGTCAGAGCGAGTGCAACACTCGTTATTAGCTCGTCCTAAAATAATTCGTTATAGAGATAAATCGCCCAAGATGACGTTCATAACATGTTACATACAAAGTACAAACGAGAAGAACTAAACTCTATGCAGGAGCGTAGCCAGGGGGGGGGGGGGGGGGGGGGGGGGGCGGTCGCCCCCCCCCCCCCAAAAAAAAACGCCGGCCAAAAAACAAAAACAAAAAATAAGAAAGAAGAAAAGAAGAGGACGTAAGAAGAAAAAGGATTAAGAGTCGAGAACTGTACAACGAATCGTCTTCTTTCTCTAATAATGTAATGAAACGTCAAAGCTTTCGCGCGGGAGGGTGGAAACTGAATGGCAGGTAAGGATTTAGAGTCGAGAACGGTACAACGAATAGTCTTCTTTCTCTAATAATTTAATGAAACGTCAAAGCTTTCGCGCGGGAGGGTGGAAACTGAATGGCAGGTAAGGATTTAGAGTCGAGAACGGTACAACGAATAGTCTTCTTTCTCTAATAATTTAATGAAACGTCAAAGCTTCCGCGCTTCGCGCGGGAGGGGGGGGGGGGAATTGAATTCTGACAAGGATTTAGAGTCGTGAACGGTCGGTACAACGAATCGTCTTCTTTCTCTAATAATTTATGAAACGTCAAAGCTTCCTCGCTTCGCGCGGGAGGGAAGGGGAAATGAATTCAGACAAGGATTGAGAGTCGAGTATGGTACAACGAATCGTCTTCTTTCTCTAATAATTTATGAAACGTCAAAGCTTCCTCGCTTCGCGCGGGAGGGAAGGGGAAATGAATTCAGACAAGGATTGAGAGTCGAGTATGGTACAACGAATCGTCTTCTTTCTCTAATAATTACACCCGCGCTCTATAAGTGAATCACACGCTTCGCGTGCTCACTATACCGCCCCTAAAATAAAATCCTGGCTACGCGCTTGGAGGTATGTGACATATTCAGAAGAGTTAATAAGATAGTCTGAGTTATAATGGCGATTTACACACTTCATAAGGTTTCTTACTGCTAGTAAATTTCATATTAGTATATAAATTTTACTATGCAGTCATTGCCTATAAAAAGGCGGGAACCTAAAATTTGGGAGAAGGGAAAATAGAATTCTACATTTATAGTAGGCAAAAGAACTATGTGTGCTTTCAGGAATGTAAAAAAAAATCATATTGGACTTAGGTCCAATGTCCATTGTCCGAGAGTTACTTGTTGAAACCATATCCTATAAATTCAGCCGGAACCCCCATCCCCTTTTCTCCCCCTCTTATTTCTTATCTTCTCTCACTTTCCTTTTTGCTATGTTCTCAATTAATTTCTCTCACTATGAATTTAATATGTTTGCTATGAAAAACACTGTCTGTTCTGCAATATTTCATCATTATTTTTCGTTCCAATATAATCAAATGGAAAGGATTTTAAAATTATGCAGAAAAGTACAAAAACATTTACTCCCGAAGATACCTGCTGAGTAATCTGATCCATTTAATTACATGTTCGTAGGCTTAATCAGTCTTGTATGATTACTCTTGTTGTTTGTAATAGTTAAATGGCGTTAATTCAGTATTGAATATATACGCCATATCTTCAGTTTTATAAGAAAATCAGTTATCCATAAAGAAAACTGAAAATAAAAATTTGCATGATTACTGAAAGGCTATATTATATAGTATTCACATAACTTCATTCAGCAGACTTGAATTAAGAATATCTTTTATTTGGGAATTTTCGTATTAATGATTTCATTTGGAAACCTAACTATTTGTTTAATTACGGAATAACGAACCATATTTCACTTTCAGGAATTATGAGACCTCATAAACCAACTTCTTTCAGATTAATAAGGAACATTCAGAAAGAAGAGCCGTATATCTGGCTGCAAATGCATTTTCCTGTTTAAATAGACAAATCTGTTTAATTATCTAAATACATACCTTGCTAATGCTAAATTGTTAATCACTGAGACTTTATAATATGATTATAATATTTGTGCATGATTTCATTTGTAAGATAGTTGCTGTTAGCAGCTGTAACACAATAAATAGTACCACGGTGATAAAAATGATAACAAAACGAAATATAGATATTCAGGTATTCTGGATGGAATCTTTAGATGAATTCTTTAACGTCATAATTGTATCTAAATGTGAGAAAATAAGAAATTCCAAATTATTATTTAGCACGTTTGACTTCCTTGGATTGGGTCGAATTTATTTACACCAGTTATTTACAGGACGACTTCTCTATATCCCAAATACTCACAATCACACAAAATATCATTAACAGCCCTATATCATATATGTGCGCGTTACAACTCGAATAATTAGAAGCAAACGCTATTAGGTACTCACTAGTAGACATTTGCTTGATTATACGTATTTAATGAGAGACATTAGCCAGTTTTGATACAATAATGGCAACCTTTGGAGTAGTAGAAGACAGCGATGGAAAGTTTTTAGAAGGAGGATCGGCCAATTCGGCAGACGAAATGGATTTCCCCCGGGCTGTTATTGATTTGGTGAAAACTTGTGAAATCCCACCGATGTATTTCCGGAATAGGATATTCTCTCCCCATTCCCAAGATATGAGCAGCTTGATGCCTGCAAGTAAACCAGCGTCAAGGCATAGATTGGTAGGTCAATTTCTTTTCAATTATATTTAAAACGAACACCAAACCACCAGTAATATTCATTGCTATGAAGTCTATGATCAGTGTTATCAATTCAATTATTAAAAAACTTCGTTTGTCACATTGCATAGAATCTAGACTACTTTATTTATTGAAAATATATTATCAACAACACAAATCATGTGGAAAGAAACATACAATAATCATACTGACATACATTTACAAAGAAATAAAAACAGGATAAACATACAATAGAAGAAATACAATGATCAGTTATATGGAATTGCTACGTACATATGTATTTGGGCACTTAAAACATTGATTGAATTGAATATTGTGTATTAATATTATACAACACCTACGTGGATCCTTGTCATTTGATTGGAGTAAAGTAAAATCTACTCACCAGAGTCGTCACTATATGTCAGAATCCGTCGATGCTGTCCTTTGCTGGTTGCTGTGATGATCTCCGTTGCTTGTAGTGCACTCCGATGCGTAGTCTATACTTCTGTTATCTAGTTACTGGTAATTCTGCTCCGACGGTGTGCGGATAACCTGCTTATATAGGACGCACGCATGTACGTGCTAATCAAGTATGGAACGCCATCCAACGCACGCACATGCGTGCGGTCCATATTAATAATTCCCCATAGGAGGATTGTTGGTCACATGATATTCAATAGACGTTATATTGCACAGCTGTGCATTTTTGGTTATATGTGCCGTGCATTTTTGGTTATATGCAGACTGCGTACCTCTCTGCCGTGTGAGCACGTATCCCGGCATGCATATGACGCGACGCGAAAGCAATCTGAATGTAATCGAGAAGGCTCGACTCCAACTTTAATTTATCTTTAATATGAGGAGTTTTTTAGCTGCACATAGAATTCTTGTAGAGCCTTTTTACTTGCACTGTACACTCGGCACTTGACAAGCACAAAGTACGATAATACACCAACAGCGGGCTGTACTATACTGGAAGAAGAAGAAGTATAATTTGTTGATTAACGTTCTATTAGATCTTCTTCGATGTTGTATAAAACAAATAATGAATGTTTTTCATTCGTTCAATGGTGCGAATATTTTCATGAATTGAAAGATTAACGTTAATTCTATTCAACTCGGCTGACGCCTCGTTGAATAGAATGTTAATCTTTCAACTCATATTCGCACTATTGAACTCATAACCATTCATTATTTGTATACTATAATATTGTTTAAAAAGTATATACAACACATATATAGCAACAGTTGAACAGGTCGATTAATAATCATTCAAGAAAAAGGGACTTCTGTCATGGACAAAACTGGTCCGAGAATACACCCGACGTTGGCCTGTAGCTGAGAAGAAGAAGTGAATAATTGATAAGATATATGGCATTTTAACATAATGTACTCTGACTCGGTAATTGTATGAATGTCATTATACTAACCAATTTACTATTAAACTGCCATTTACCCTGTCGGATTAAATAACAAAAATGATTTGAAATAAACGATATTAGATTAAAGGCCATAAATAAGTTAATGTTTGGGGTCAGAAATTAAGCTAAAATATCCAACTTCTGCCCGATATATATGTCTGAAAATAATTGTCTCATACTTATAGTAAATCATGTAAAAACTAAAACTCACTTTCCATGCCTAAGTGAAAGAGAGAGACTGAGAGGGACAGTGACAGAGACAGACAGACATACAGACAGACAGCTAGCCAGCCAGACAGACAGACTGACAGACAGACAGACATACAGACAGACAGCCAGCCAGCCAGCCAGACAGACAGACAGACAGACAGACAGACAATGGGGAGGGGGTGTAAGAAGGATGTACAGTACATGTAATAGACATTACAGGTTAGAGGAATGCACCATGACCATGTTATATTAGCATTGCACCATGCACCTGGCTTCGTAAGTCGTAAGCAAGTACACATACACTCATCAATTTGCAAGAATCTTCAACTGTGAAGGAGGCAGACCCAACCCAAAGAAGAAGAAGACAACTTATTAATACCTGTAATCTATCAGATTGTCTACACATTCCTGTTTCAAGTGCTTTATCAAAGACTGAACCTTGATCCATATGTTCAAATAATTAATCACCAGAAAAAAATAACACAAACACAACCTTATTCAATGGATCTCACTAAAGCTACATACATGTAGCTGTATGTCTTTAATTAGATCAGTATAAACTCCTAGGAATCCCTCTCGTTCCATGTCTTGTAGACTTGTAAATTTGTGACTGGCTCATTCATATGATCATATCAATGACGATGTGTGTTTACCATAAGAGATATATAGCATAATCTTTGGATTGTTTATTTTGTATACAAAATTATACTCATTGAATTCTTCAGGACAAAAATAAAACTGAATTCCAACTGCTTCCACCGTCTCTGAGAAGATTTTTGTTTGATGAAGGATGAAATAAAATAAACTCTAACCATTTTGAGTATTTCTTTAGCAGAAAGATACTATTCCTCATATTTATCAAACTATTGCAATCTCATGAATTTCATTGTAGACATGTACAGTATATCTATCTTTTCAAATTTATTCCATATTTTTTCAGAAAATGTAATGTTTATTGGTACTAGATGCATTATCAATGAATAGTCTATTTAGTTTTACTGAAAACTGTCCTGATATTGACTATAGCCAGGTCAAAAGGTAATATTGAATTGTATTATACACCTGTAGTACTCATCAAAAACTTTATTCTAACAAGCCAAAAATATTACCACCAAATATTTTGAAGTCAGTTTTTTGTGATAGAAAACTTGTAATAATCAAGTCATTTGGTGAAATGTCTCAAATTTATCTAGGCCATTTTATGCTGTTTGACGCACAGTTTGTGTGTATTTTTTTGCTGCATTGTTTACATTTGGCTGACGTAAACATCACCATACAATGTATGATATAGAGATTAACTCCTTTGGCATTCACAATTTTTTTAAAACCAATTATTCTCTCAAAGTAAAGTTTTTCTGCTTGTACTTTAGATAAGCTTCATTCTGCACCCATATAATTAGCTGCTTTTGAGTAACAAGATTACTTTTCAAATGTTACTTGGCTATGTTCAAGTAGAGTATACCGGTAATGTAAAAAAATGGAAATAGTATTATTTTCATATCCCAAATCTGATGGATAAAATTCCACTTTATTGGCATGGTGTCAGGAGTGGGATACAAACTAATGTCATCAACATGCTTGTTGGCTAGGACCATAGACCTACTATGGAGTACAGTAGGTACATCTACATGAACATGTGTACGGTAATCTAATGCGTACATTCCACTTCATTAGAGTGCTTTCACAAACATGACGGAACGAAGACGACGGGAGAAAGATGGCGATACAGCTCTTCCGTCGTGTTTAAGGAACGAACACTATCATGGCCGCGTACGGTCATGAAAATCAACAAGACAGAAAATTCTGGTTCGCGCATTTTTTTCCGCTCGCGCTACCGTCTTCTTTCCCTTCCGCCGTGATTGCGAAAGCGCCCTATTGATAGGATGGCACCGGTGGGATGCAAACCAACACCATCGCAATGATTGATCACTCAATCATTGTTTCATTGTTTTTCATGTACAATGCAATCCCATGTACTTCATTTATTTTGTTGGAAATGGAAATGGAAATGTTCATTCAGTTGACCAAATCTGATATAAAAATTCAACTTCATTTGTGCTGGTTTGGGATTTTAGTAATTCCATGTAGAGGAATGATACAGCTCTAGTTACGGTATATACAGTCAAACCTGCTTTAGTGACCACCTGTCTACAAAGGCCACATTTGCTGTTTTTTTCCTTGAAAATTGTTTCTCATTGAATCATGTACTAGAGGAACCTGTCTACAAAGACCACCTGTCTACAAAAGCCACTTTTTGTGTTTCCTTGGGTGGTCGCTATAGACAAGTTTTACTGTATTGAGTTTCGTTTGATATGCAAACATTGCTGTGAAAGATAATAGATCTTTATATTTGCCATATATGTTTAATTATAATGTTTCCACTTTCACAGATTCACAGAGAATGGGGAAAGAGTGTATCTCGCAGAGTGGAAGGTCAAGGAGTGATGGCTCTCTTGACGATAGATGACCAAGCACTGGACGAAGATAAAGCTAAGAGAATAGCACATTATATTCAGAACATACTCAAAGAAACTCAATGTGAATTTCTAAAGTAAGTACCATGAATTTTGTACTGAGTTCCATACCTTTCATTTATCATGTGAATGAAGCATTAATATTTGAGTGTTTACCATGATTCATTTTGCATTATGCATGAAGAGCTTTAATTAGAGCCTGTTAGACCTCCCTGCATGGTCACCGACAGGCGGTTACATGTATCTCATCAAATGATCAAATCAGCTCTCAATTAACATAAGAAAAGGGGGATCATGGGGGACCAACAACTACCGCTTAGGCATTGTTTGCTACAAAACATATAGAGGGCGCAAATAGCTACAAGTAGTGCAGTCCTGCTTTAAAACATATTCAACTGAGTTCTCTGTCATGGATTTAACTTATGTTGTTGTTGAAATAATTATTTATATCTATGAAAAAACAAGTATCAAACAAATTAGATTCCATGACCCCAGGGTCCTTGGAGTACATATTAACACCATCACATTTCACAGCAAACCTTTTTTTGCCAGCAAAATAATTACTGGTATATGCAAGTGCCTTTATACGTTACATGTACATGTATGGGACTATGCTGGGACGGGAGAAAAGTAGACAGACAGGGACAACACAAGGGTGTTCATGTGAAACCAAATCAAAAGAATTCTAACTACGGTATAGATGAGTGGGTAGATTTAGAAGTTTCAATAGAGATAGATAATGTGGGAGGTCTGTCATTCATGTATATATTTGCCATAATTAACAAATGATAATACATGTAGGTGCTTGATTGGAGTTTGAGGGATACACATGTATAAGCACATTGTTCACGTGCTGGCGTATATTTAGTGAGCCTGCCTGTCCTGTAATATTGATTGTAAACATGAAACCTGTATGCATACATGTAATCAAGTTTAATAGAGCCATGCAATGCCACGCATATCAATCTCATCTTGAGTCACCTCGTACATGTTTTATCACTCAGTTATTATCTTCTTATAAGTAAAGTTATAATGTACAATGAATTGTGAGAAACGAATGACCGCTTATAACTGATTCAATTGATTTTATTTCTACTGCAAAACATAATACAAAAATAATTATATCGCAACAAATATGCCTTGAAATGATAAATATAATGAAAATAGCACGAGAAAAGAGGAACTAACTTGAAACAGAGCTTGTTGAAGTGCAAAAAGGTTTTATCCTTGATATCTGTATGCAATGTGTTTATTGAGACAAGCATGTCAAAATAGATCCTGTGGCTTTGGAAGATCTCAAGAATAATAGGAAAAGCATGTGTTAAGTAAATCATGTGACACAGTAATAATTACTGGATTGTTTTTGTTCTTTGTGATGTAGATGGGACCAGCAGTGTCTTCTACTCTACTTTAGCTCACCCAACGATTACCAACGTCTAGGAGAACGTTTTATGCACAGAGAACTGGACGATTGCGCAGGATCAAGAGTCATGCAACTGGAAGGTGAGACACATTGCTTATTCTTTTATCAGATTACTAATTAGAAATTTTATGGATTGAAATACTTGTGTTCTGTAATTTGTAGGTGTATTATTGTAAATTCTAGATTTTGTATTATTTTTCAGCACTTAGAAATACCCACTCTTATTCCTATTTTTTACGCAGATATATGAAGTAGACCCGCGACTAGCATTTGAATATTCAAATTATGTTGTATTTGAATAAATCAACAAAACAATGTAATCAACTTTAAACCTGCAGGTGGCATATTAGTTGAGACCATGTAGATGGCTACTACACTGGACAAGCAATAGTCATACACTGAATTGTAGTGTTAATTTGCTAATGGCTCATTTGATTTTGGTATCAAACTTGATATGCAATTATTTTCCAACTATTCAAATACTCTTTTGCCTGAAATATTCGAAAAGTACAAAAAATGTTCATCACCCACATCAATGTAACTATATTTTAATAGTGTCGAGTTAGTGGTAGGTACCTATTAATTTTGTTTTTACTCTGTAACAAATCTCTTGTAATATCTTTTCAGCGGCTAAACTGACCAATCCACCTCGCAGTCTGATAGAGATCTCAGTACCTCGTGACCAAGGGGATTCTACAAGACATACCATATCATCTTTCCTCTCATACTTCTCCGGGGCTTTCACTCATGCAACCATCATGGAAGAAGACAACTCCACTGCCAGCGCCGCCGTGTCCTCCGATGGCATTCCATCCATGGGCGTGGTCATGATGTTCCAATCAGGTGCGGGCAAGGTCCAGGAAGTGTTCTCCTCTCAACCTTGGAAGAGCCAAGCATTCTCTGACGAAGTCTCCCAAGTAGAGTTCGCAACCCAGTTCTACGTCCACACACAGAAGGCGCTTCCATTCTGGGGGGTACGTACAGGGGCCCCCGCAAACGGCGTGCGCCTCCTGCTGTTTGTCCGCGATCCTAGGAAGTTTGATGTCATGGACGAGTTCTATCAACAGTTCACCGGTGTGACACCCTTAGAGCACAAGTCTACGGCCAGTGCGCTCCGATACAGTACATATACCCTCTCACCACGGTGTGAGTTTACACTAGCTCATTATCCTGGTCTGAAGCCCTACTCAGTAGACTCGTTATCAATGGGATTTCATATAAGAAATTTGAACAAGGCTGCAGGGGCCGAACGACTAAACGATGATCACTGGTCCACTAGAGATCCCGAAGATAACAAGGTTACTCTGTTCTCTGTCAGAAGGTAAATCTATTCAACAAGTACTACTACAGTCATCCTCTCAACACAAGTATTTAATTTAGGTACACATCCTTATTTTACAATGTTAATAATTGTTTCCTAACAACTTTTAGGATTTTAGGATTCTTTTCATAGAAATGCTAGTTATCTCAACTAAACAGTTTAAGTTGAACATGTATCGTATTGCTTGGTGTGTAGTTACTGAAAATGTGCACTAATTCAGTACATTGACAGTATGCCTTGATAAGATACATCGAATAACAGAGATCAGAAGATATATCAAATCAATCCATGTTTAATACATACACTTATGATATGAATGAGCACCAGTAATATACATGTAGTTATCATTATTTGATCTTTCAAATATTTATCTGTTCATTTCTTGTGAGTTTATTTGCTTCTCTTACTTCTAGAAATGAAGAAAGTCTTCTTCTGTACAATACAGGCACTTTTAGTATAATCTTAATTTATTGATTATATTCATGTACAGTATACATAGTCCGAATTTGTCATTTGTCCGAAAAAATATGACCCGAAACTAAAAATTGTAAGAATGATAATAACTTTTGCAATGTTTTGTGGCAGCTCGTTGATTCTCCTTGATTCATAAAGTATTCTTCTATCTTTTCAAAACACCACCTTCTGATTTTAGCTTTAAGCTCCATTTATTTATATGTTTTCTTACCTGTAAACTTATACAAATACAGTTGTATATCATATATTCCTAACATATTTATGATCTTATTAGTTAAAACCCAAAGGGGAATCCATTCTTATTTGTAGTTTTTTATATTACAATTCCAGTCTCTTTCTAAAGATAATTATATAAAGGAATCACATGCACTGGATTCCAAAAGCTAAGTATTCAGCCGCATAAAGACTGTAACTACTTTAATATTAAACTTGTGAAAAGAATGTGTTCCTCTCTTCAAGGATTCTTGGATGCTTAGTGTAAGAAGGTATATATCACCATAAGCCCTCCCAACGAAGAAAAGGAATATGATTTGTTCCGTTGAATTTCATGCAAGTGTGCTGATATTATATTGCTATGTTTTTAACAGGTTCTGAGGAAGACCATACAGGTTGTGTTTATGAACTGCTTTCCAAAGTACCGGTATCTTTTTATGTTAGGACAATTTAAAGATCCTGTCGGAAGTGAAAAATGAAATGGATGAATTATATATCAATGGAAAGTTTATAAGCTTACAAAATCAGTTATATGCTAGTGTCTATCAGAGTTGTAACAGCTCTCTGAAAACTGCTTTTACTAAAAGGGAAGATATTTTGTATTCCTTTATATTTGTATTCTACATTCATTCAGCTTTCCATTGATATAAAGTTGTATTGTGTTTTATTGATTCTAACATAAAGACAAGGTTACATGTAGCAGTTAGTCTAACACTCAATTCTGTTGCAGATAACCAGCAGTATGTAAGCAGGGACATGTCAAGTGCAAAAAGAATGTTTAACTACCGGTAGAAATATTTTAAAGGTAATTTGTATCTGTGAATTAATAAAAATACTTTATAGAAATAGATTCCATTGAGGGTGTGAGAGACTGGGAGTGCTGTCCACAGTGTTGTATTTTTGTGTATCTGCACGTATGGGTTATATTAGCCTACATGTATAACCTGATCTATATGTTCATGTGTAAACTTGTTAGCAGAGAGAAACAAAAATATGTTTTAAAACTGATTTGTCTTCCTAATCTTAATGCCAATTTATAATTATGGTGCAAAGTGACAGAGTTAAATTTTTCAGATCGTATTTTCTCCCTTCCTTAGAAATATCAGTAGAATAGATGGAGTTTGTTATCTGACATCCCTTTACTCTTTGGTAACATAAATAATTTTGATTTCGTAAAATTAACTTTTGTTCCCTATCTGTTTGCATGCTAAGCTTTTGTTAGTAGCCGTACTTTAAAGATTTTCCAAACATTTCTCTGTTTTATTAGCTTTATTGTAATTTATCAATGGCAGGACTAATGTTTCCATGCCACATATAGCTATGCTATACTCACAGATATGTTTGTACATATATAAGTAGTACTCGTAGTTAGGCTGAATATTGTTTACATACGATTATTAAAAACGAGGCATTGCTCAGATTTTGTAGAAGAAATATGATCTTTACTTGGGTTGTAAAGGATGACTTGTTCAGGTAGATCAAAAATTGCATCAGATTTACCATTTATGACGATGTAATAATTATGTTATTAACTTTCAGTTCCAAGTTTCATTGAATGATTTAGGGTATGCAATGTGTGTAACTTCATTCAAAGGCCGGCGATGCTATGATCTGAATACACACTATTTATTCTCATTCAGATAAAATGCGGCATTTTTGTTATGATGATGACGCTTTAACCATTTCTGCATCTCATAACACAGAGGAAGAGAGAGCTCAGTGAATACGCAAAGGACCTTTGTTGTGTGCAGGTGTCATTCTTTTACACGTTTTAGAAGAAGAAAAAAAACATGGTAGCTTTACCGCTTCTTATCTGAACAAGCCTTAAGACACCATCCACTGCTATTTATAGTGCCCATTTTGTTAATGTCTGTTTAAAAGTTTTTAATATGAAACCTATAGCGTTTTTATATTTCAATTCAAATATTCTTGTTTTAAATTGTTTCGTACAATGTACTGTTTTTACATAACTTTTTATGTTACTTTAATGATGGTTACGTTAATTAAGACAAATAACAGATTTCTTATTTACTTTATGTTTAAGATGCTTTACAAAACATATAGAAAGCTCTCTAATGCAATGAGGCAGTGTTCTGAAAACATGTTCATCTCTTGAACACATCAAAGTTTCCCATCAGCAGTTTGTCATTTGATATTACAGGTAGTGACAAGAGCTACATGTAGATTTCATTTGATATCTGAGACTATGTTATAGTAGTCAACTAGTGGCGTGTACACTTGGCTTGGGCACAATAGGGTACCTGGTAGGATTTCAACACCCAAGAGAGAAATGGGGACCTGGTAGGATGACAAAAGCATTTGTGTGAGTAATTGCCTATGTCCTCACGATTACTAGATGGTAGGAATACTCCCCAGGGAGTGGAGATGGTGCACATTGTGCATGAATGAATCCGATGACCGGTGTAATAATATCTGTAAAGCGCTTAGAGACGGTATTCCATATGAAGCGCTATATAAATCTGGATCATTATCATTAGAGCTGGACTATTTTTCCCAAAGTACTTTGGAAGTGCAATGTGATATGATATTGGCTATACAAAAATAGAAAATTGTTTTGTCACAAGATATATTTGTGAAAATACAGATTTCACATTTATTGCACTTTGCCAAGGTCAGTTAATGTCAGTTGAGGCAGTGATACCAGGATATCAAATATTTGGGGACTGTTAAAGTTGGTAAAATATTTCTTCCACTAGAAGTGGTCCCTTTTGAGTTAAGGAGGTGAGTCATTGATGTTTCAACCTTTGAGCCATGTGATAAAATTTTGTTTCATTTTGTTGCAGAGAATGATATCTGTCTTGTCTGTTTGTTTTGCAGCATTATGATAACAGTCATCCAATTGAAAGTATGTGTACATAGAAATTATAACGTCCCACATTCCATGATTTAATACAGGTCATTTTCTTTTTAAAGTTTGTTTGATTAATGCTCTGAATTATGAATCAACGACTTGGTGACAGTTATAACTAAATAAAGGTTTCATGACAATAATGTATAAAATGCTGTCTTGATTGTTAGAATGAACTTGCAACAAATGCCACGTGATTGATTTTTATGCGCATTTAATGATTTAATGGGGCGAGCGTGTATGTGTGTGTAAAGAGAGAGAAGGAGGGGAAAACAAGAGTACTGGTAGGCTAATTCTCAACATAGAAAGGGAGAGAGATATAGAGAGGACAGAAAGAGAGGGGGTAGATACTGTATGCAGTTCCACCAGGTCAGAAAGGGGAGAATAAGGATAGAAGAGAGGACTGGATAAGAGGAAGGAAGGGTTAGGATGAGAAGGATAACAGTATGAAGATATAGACAGAAAGCAGGGGAATGGGGATGTTATGAACACATAAAAGGGAGAGAGAGAGAGAAGGAAAAAAGAGGATTAAAAAGAGGGGGTAGATAAGTAGTACCACCAGGTCAGAAAGGGAAGAATAAGAATAGAAGAGAGGATGGATAAAAGGAAGGAAGAGTTAAGATGGGAAAGATTATGAGAATGAAGGTAGAGATAGAAAGCAGAGGAAGAGGGATGTTATGAACGGATAGAAGGGAGGAGGAGAGAGAGAAGAAAGGGAAGAATAAGAATAGAAGAGAGGATGGATAAAAGGAAGGAAGAGTTAGGATGGGAAAGATTATGAGAATGAAGGTAGAGATAGAAAGCAGAGGAAGAGGGATGTTATGAACGGATAGAAGGGAGGAGGAGAGAGAGAGAGAGAAAGTGCAGTAGTGGTAGGCAGTGTACCATCATGTGTACACTGCAAGCACACAAATTGATTTAAACAAAGATTTAAAAGGAACATTTCAATCCAGTCTTCAAACAACTCTCAAAAGAATACACCGACCAATATTGATTCATTATTTCAAATCACTATCAATCTTCTGTTTCTGAGATTATTGAAGGTCTATGAATTAGGACACATAGATTTAAACTTGCCATGTATTGGTTTATTTGTTTCAATTATATATTCTCGCCTTCATGGTTGTTGAGTACATTCAAATCAATTTTAGCTTGTTTGAAACATTTTACCAATTTAAATAACAATTACCGACATTGGTCACTATGGTAGTCACTTTACTAAGCTAGCTGGTTGAATTTGACTTTGAAATGAATTTATTTAATCATGGTAAAACTCACATCGGCCTAAAAGGACTACTTTTTAGCAAGTCCGTGGTAAAAACAGAAAACAAATCATACAGGCACCAAAGTGAATATAAATACAATGTACATGGGTAAAAAACACTTAAAGATGACATATATATATATATATAAATATATAACAAAGTCAAGAAAGAAAGCTAATACAAGAAAAGGAATTACATGGGTAAAAAACACTTAAAGATGACATATATATATATATAAATATATAACAAAGTCAAGAAAGAAAGCTAATACAAGAAAAGGAATTACATGTACAGAAAAAAAAACAATGTATATAAAAAAAGTGTCACATGAATGAAAAAGGAACAAAAAAATTAAATTAAAAAGCTAGCGTATCAAATGAATGTAAAAAGCATAAAGATATATGATATAAAAAGTTTCATATGAATAAATTAGGAAGAACAATTAAAGTAAAAAGCTAACAATTTAAATGAAAATAACATACAAAGATATACAATATAAAATGTGTCATTTCAATTAATAGGCAAAGGGGAAGAGTAAAATGGGTAAGAAGAGAAAAGAAAAGGGAAAGAGAGAAAGAGTGTGAGAAAAGGAGAAGAATCTCAATAATGAAAGAGAAAAAGGGAATCTGGAAAACAGGAGTGTAAGAGATGGGAAGGGGCGAAGGTGAGAAGAGAAGGGGAGAGGGTGAGAGATAGAGAAGAAAAGGAGTGGGAAAGACAGTGAGGGAGAGAGAAGGAGAGATATAGAAGAAAAAGAGGGTGAGAGCGACAGACTTTTGAACCCATCGACTACCAACTTCTCTCATTCCATATGCTTTAATACAGGAGCCAACTGGTTCCCATACGCAAAATGTTAACTATGCTAAGCTATGATGCATTTATCAATCTAAATTTTTCCTCCCGATGTTGTTTCCTTTCTTGCAATGTAAAACCAAAACTTAAGCAAATTGTGAATGAAAGATGTTTGACCATAAAACTACATTGAGAATTGGAAAAGGATCGAGGTAATTCAACAATGAAACCTTGATATATCTTTACAAATCTTTCATGAACTTTGTGAAAGTTTCATACACATGCAAGTGTCTGATTGAATTACTGATTATTTAGATTATTTTGAATAATACCCAACCATCTAATGGAGTTTTTATGATGAAAAACAAACATGTGTATTTTACAGCTTTAACAAAATTAAATGGAAACAGTTAATATAACACACAAAATTGGAATGAATGAGATGACAAATTAGCACCAATTTTTATTGTAAACACCCATTTCCATTCTGTTAGCAAACCAGCAAATATCAAAGATAAAAAGTCTACACAAGGACCGATACATGATGGGAAAGAATGAAACTAGTGACACGCTACATACCTGTACATGTACATCAGGGTAATACATAGGGTAGGCATGTATTAACCTGAATTACATAAAGGCCACATCCAGGTGTATAATAATAATAATATTCTGCTTTTATATGGCGCTTAATACATCAACGATCATTTCCCCAGTCGTCGGATTCAGGGTTGCACACACACAATGTATGCACATTCTACGCTCCCTGGGGAGCATTCCAGCCAGGCGTCATTTTACAAACGCTCCCATTGCTTAGCAAACTACATTAGCTTTCGCATCCTACCAGGTATCCATTTAACGCCTGGGTGGAGAGTGGCAAATGTAGATTTACATCTTGCTATAGGACGCAAGTGTGGGGCTGGGATTTGAACCCCGTACCTTACCTGCAGTCGGGAGACTTATTCACTAGACCACAATACCTCTACATGGTACGCCCTAACCATTTATTTTTGGGGTCATATTTTTTTAACTTTAAATCATAAATAGGACAATAATAGCAATATGAAGCTGATTTGTAGTTTCTACCTCCATAAGTGAAATATAAAAAGCGGTAAAAAATCATTCACATGACTGACCGAATACCGGTACATAAATTCAAACAGTGTCACTGTGCCCAACACACATGTGCCTTGTGTGTTTGCCACACATGATATCTTCAAGCATATGTGTGCAGGAAGCCATTGAGATGGCAGTGTCCTAGTGTATGAAAGTGCCTGGCTGTGATATAGTGTTCTCTTCAGGTATATTACGCTACTAATTCACTGGAAATCATGGACGGAATTTAAAGTATTTTTGCACTTGTATCATTCGATACACAGAAAACAACAGGAAACTATATTTCACACATTCATTCCAATATCATTTTTGCTACCAAAACTGTACATGCATGAGATGTAACATAATTGGGTGAAAATACATGAATGAACTTGGCAATTTACACATACAGCTAACAATCTTCCTCTCCACACAATGTCATAAAGTGTAAGTACAATATAAGTAAATGGATTGAATTTATTTTGTATAAAAGTATACCAGTCTGTTGCATACAAACTAGGCACTTAAAGAGATTTATCATATAGACAAAAATCAGTCTGAATACAAATGATTCTCTTTAGTTTTAGTATAGCATAACATGGAAACAAGATTTGAAGAAAGACACCAACAAAAAAAATCTTATTTGGCAAGATAAAAGAAGCAAGGAAGTAATATAATACAACCTTATACATACATGTGTAGATCAAAGGTTTTGACATGAATTAACTACTATTTGGTCATTTTGCATAGATAAGAATGATGTTATAAATTTGAGGATTTTTTAAGATCAGAGCCATCTTTTGAAGAGTTGCAATTAAGCAATTTCAAACACTAGTTGGTACATTTTACCCTTTACATATCATTGTGTTCATATGTATATCAAAGGTTTTGAAATAAATGAAATATAATTTTGTTATTTTGCATAAATAAGAATGGTGTTATCAATTTGAGGGTTTTTTGAAGATGAGCTAGGGCACTCTTCTGAAGATTTACAATTAATCCAAATGGATTGCAGGTCCTCCAATCAATCACAAACTTGCAAAAACTATCCTTACTACTAATATGTAATTTTCAAATAAGATTTTATGCTGGGTGAGTTAAAAGTTATCAAACATAAAGATATATAATAGTTTTCTAAGAAAATCATTAAAGGGAAAGTCCACCCTGAAATTAAGTTAGTTTTAATAGGAGTAGAAAAATGAGAGAAACAAGTCAGTGAAAGTTTGAGCAAATTCCGATTAAAAATAAGGAAGTTAGGATTTTGAAGTTGTGATCAATCAAACACAAATTGGCAACTCTATGACGTATCATGCGAGCTCAACTTCCATTTGCTCAGTACTAAAAAAATCTAAAATTTTCTTTTTCCCTCAAGAAAAATTTCAACCATACATGCACCCTAAATATAATAATTGCAAATATGTTTCTATTCCCTGCAAGGAACAAATATATATTCCGTCATCAATAACGAAGAAAACATGATTTTATGAAATATTATGCACAAAGCAAATGAAGGAGAGCTCGTATAATAAGTCACAGAGTTGCCAATTTGTATTTGATTGATCACAACTTCAATAATTCATAACTTTCTTATTTTCATTCAGAATTTGCTCAAACTTTCACTCACCTGATTTTCTTATTATTCTGCCTCTATCGAAACACACTTATTTTGGGGGTGGACTTTCCCTTTAATGTAATAGCATGCCCAATGTCAATCAAAATTAGGATTTTAGTTGAAAAGATGGTCTAGTAATGTGAAAGAGAAGATTTTAAGAGAAGACGTTTGGGTTAGACATTTCCTGTGTTATAAGGCACAGTGTCCAAAATTTACATACAAATTGTAGACTGAAGATTATTTACCAAAATACAATAAAAATAGTCTTTACACTGCATTAGATTTAAACCAATTACTCAGTGTTGGCACATGGCATAAGTTCTTTAAGAATTATCTGGTTTCCTTATACCATTATACATGTACCAGCACTTGCATTTACTAAACAAAATGTAAAGAAATATAGAAGCAATATGGCCACCTTACAGACCACATTTTCCACAAAGCTCTGATTACAATCGACAAAAAGCCTTTCTTCATTTCAATGAATTATAAAAGATTTACTGGTAGTTATAAACATTTGAAAGACATTTGAGTGATTGAAATCACACTCAATGTAACACCAGCTTAATATACTTGCCATACAGATGAGCATAGCAAACCAAACAATTCTAGAGCTCAAATAGAAGATTGGGTTAAAGGAATTTTCCATCTTTAAAAGATTGGGAAAATTTGAATGTTTTGAGTATGATATTCTATGAATGAGAATCATTTCTCCTATCATTGATCTCAAACACAGCTGTTTACCATTGAAGTCTTTCACGATTTGCTTTGTCACTAATAAAGAATAATTTAACAATTCAATAAACCAAATTATACATATATAAAACAGAGTATCAGCCATAGAAAAGGGGGCCACATATGATAATGTGACCTTAACATTAATAAACACCCATTATGAAGATCTGAGAGATTTGACAATTAGAAAAATAAAATGATCTAAGTAAGTCTAAACTATTTTGTCATAGGTGTCCCATTTTGTCCAAGTATTAGGAGTCACAAACATAAATTGATAATACAGGTGTTGATTCAATTCATGTTAGGTCTGATATAAGCTGTAATCTGGTAATACAACAACAAGGGCCATGTCTTATCAAGAATTGATATTAATCACAACTAATACCCCTTTCATAGTGCTTCTATCGGAGTTACACCGATGAAAATACTGATTGAATTTTCCTTAGGTAAACAAAGGTGAAACCGCCGCTTTCCCTGCTGTCCTTTTCATACTGCGGGTAAAATTCACTCGCTGTGGCGCAATTATTAAGCCCGCGCTCTATTTGGCAAGCACGCAGCATGTTCAACAAAAAGTCAACAAACACAGTTGGTTACGATAAAGCGCGTGTACACTGCGACCTTTGATCATTTTCATCGGCCTTTTAATCGGTGTTTTGTCCTGAACGCATTCACAGTGGCTGTTTCATCAGTGTCACACCGATAGAAAGAGAATTTAATCACCCATTTCTCTTCTTTTCATCTGCTATTCTATTGGCTTTTTCTACTCGGTACCATTCATAGTGGCCGTTTTATTGGATGCGTCCGGATGCGTCCTGTGAAAATTAGGCCAGTTTGAAAGGGGTATTATTTACGACTGATATGCAACTCTTTATAAGACGGGGCCCTGAATACAAAAAAATCCCATATTTGGTGAGTAACATCAGGGACAAGATAGGTTAGACTCGCCTATCTAGGAACAAGACCAGTTTCATTGACATCAGACGTTATAGTTCAATATTTTTGTTGACTACGATGTTTGGGTTTTGATGAAAATGAGTAGCATGATCTCTGCCCATGAATAGGGCTTCACTCTGGAGGGCTTCATCTAAACTGATCAGATCATCTTTGTCAGTGTCAGCCATTACAATCAGATGGTCAACCTAGCAGAATGAAAACAAATCAAAAAAGAAAGAAAATACTAGTATTAGTAATTCACTATTGACCCTGAAGACTATATAAAACATACTGGCCTATATTTTCAAAGACAATTACTCAAACCAGGAATATTTATCAAATGATCTCTTTTGCGAAAAGTTATATTGGATATCATTTATGTTATAACAAGATAATAATACAAGTATAATGGATTATGGGTGAGTGTTCTGAAGCATAAAATGCACATGATTATAGTTCTGTAAACTATATTTATTTGCAATTTAATCTTGCAAGTTTTATTTGATATTTGATGGGAATTCAGAGATTATAGTATTGTCAATGTCCGGGCGTTGTTAGATCACGTTTAGCGAGCATGCAACGTTTGCGTACATGATATTTCACTCTGTATGCACTGTACGTACACTGCAATGTCTATGCAGACTTCCTATGACTGTACGTATATGTATGATTATTATGGTATGACGCGCCATACTCCGTAATCGCTCCGATACACACACTGAGTTTCCTTCGGGAGATTATGGCGGTGTCCGCCGGCTGCCCTCTATATACCCAAGCGTGAACATCTTTGAAGATAAGATGAATGATAAACTCACCTCCCTTTCAGCCTGCTCTCGGAATGATTTCTCCTGGGATTCTAACTCAAAGATTTCTGATCCTTCCAGCTTCCCGTTCCCGTCTAGATCGTGCTCTGTCTCAAACAATCTCTTCTCCTCTATCACCCACTCTGGTAGTTCTTCCTCATCTAGATAATATAAAGGTCAGTAATAATCATGCCATTACATTTTACATATGAAAAAACAACTGCCTGGAAACAATAATTATTATATTAGGATTATGTAGAACAAAAGAATTAATGTGTACTTTGAGGTATGATCAAATGAAAAGAATCGATTCGATCTTGCCTAAAAATCACATGCACAGCACTCAGAAATGGCGATATAGGACTGCAAATGAAAGTTAGGTCCAGACTTTTCAACTATTTTTCATATTATTTCAAACATGAGGGCATGTCAAGAGCAGGAAACACTTCTATTATATACCGGTACTCTTCCACACCAACGTACAAAGAGTAAGAAAGCTTACAAATACCATTTCATCTTTACCAGAACTCAACCTTCTCCTTTAAAGTAAAGATCATATTCCATTGTGTCATTTCCTGTTTTTAATAGCTAATACACATTGTATTAGCCCAAAAGGAACTACTAAAGGGTATTGTACATAGTACATACACCATCTCAAATCTGCTAAATATAATGACATCACCCAATAGTAGATTGTACTTCATCATCAGAAGAAATTAAATATGGTCTCATATATCATAATAAGGTCTCATATTATGTACTTTCAGCTTCTACCAATATTAGATTTAGTAGCAGGTGACTTTTCATCCACAACAGTAGGCTTTCTCAGTCAAGCCAAATGATCCTAATTCACACAGTTTCTTGTTGTCTGCTGCCTCGAGATCACTGGAGCGAGGATAGACAACAGTATACTGGTAGCCAAAATACCTATTCAGGCCCGAGATTAATCCTTTTAATGTTATTGGATTCTTTCACCTAGCTTTCTTGGCCAGAAGTGTTTCAAAAATAATAATATGAGTATTCAATGTCGTGTGTATTAAGGATACTGCTAAATGGTACATGAACACATTATTCAATGTAAAGCTCTTTTAAATTCTTTCAGTCTTTCTTTTAGTGTCCTCCCTGTTTCTTCAGCAAAGGAATGTCATTATAACGATGCCAGCTATAATATAGCATGCTTTTTATTTTCTTTTATGGGTGACTTGTCCTTGTTGTGACCTACATGTAGCTTGCTCCACAGTATGTTTGAGCTTGCTACACTTTGCTACAGCAAGCAAATATTAAAGCCCCACTGTCCTACTTGCTCCCTCTATATAGAAAACTTCCCCAATCGGTCCCTGTTGGTCCCCCATGATCCTCTATTTCTTATGTTATTTGACAGCTGAGTTGATGAGATAGCCACCTGTCAGTGACCTCGCTGTGTGGTCTAATCCCTCCTATATAGCCACACTAGTGTTGATAAGCTTTAAAGGTAAAGGCCAGTATTGGAAACGCCCCAATTTCAAAAAAATGAAATGGAAGCTCTTATTACCAATCATGTGAAAGAATATGTTTTGACTAATACATGATGATAAAATTTTCCTGGGAAACCGCCTACTAATTGATATATTTGGTAAATTAGTTTATCTATTGGGATGTGATAGATAAAACGCATGTGTCGCGCACATGTGCGTAGTCCTATATACATCTTTCTGTGTACAGTGCTTGTAACTTTACCAAGACTGGGCCAAATTTCTTATCATTTTGATGATTCCAGAACCTTGCAGTACACACCAATACTTACAGGCTAGATGATCAACCTTTTTTGATTGATTCCACAACGTTTCTTTCACAATGCAATCGCATGACCAGAACTGATCTTTATCTTTAAACATGATGTTGTAAGGTTAAATAAGGTAAGGACTACTTCCTGAACATACTCCTTCTTTCCTTCCTTCTTACTGTGTGAGTGTGTGTGTGTGTGTGTGTGGGGGGGGGGGGGGGGGGGCTTGTAGCTTATATTTTCTTTGCTCCTTTCAAAGCAGGGTTCCAAGGAAGATTGGTAGAAACTCATACTACAAATGTTAGTCTTCTTGAAAGAAAATTGGTATTCAAATATATAAATATATACATTTGTGCATTTGTATGCCTTTAAAAACCAATACCGGTACCTAAACATGTATACAAAAATTTAAAATAATCCACAAAAACAAAATCTTACCATCTTTCAGTAAAAAGTCTCCAATGAACTCAACAACTTCAATGCCGCCATCTTTATTTGTATCAAAATCTTCCAGTGAATCCAGAATGACCACTTTCTATGCGCAAAATGACAGAAAAAGAAAAATGGTACGTGTAAGTTTTATTTCTTGCGGTGCTGATGTCGTTTCAGATCATTTCAATCACACGTTACTCCACTAAGAACTTTGTATATGGTGATCAATATAAATCAGTCTTTAAGCATGAATCAAGAATTCTAAATAACTAATTATTATGATATGCTAACAAACAAGAGGAGAACAACTGGAGAAAATTTAGAATTTTGTTCAGGATCTTATCTCAGTATAACATTGAACAATGCTCTACAAATGAGGAACAGGAACTCATACTTTTTTCTCAATAATGTTCATGCTTGAAACGAAGTAATACAAGAATTTTAGTTATCCTGTGAAAGAGTATTACATTTCCTACAACTTTTGAACGCAGCAATCTTGCATGTAAGTCATGATTAAAGAAGTGCAGGTGTTTAAACAGAAAGCATTGTTCATGTCTTGGTAAAATCTTGAAACAAGCAAAACTACACGGCACAGTATTAAAGGGTTAATAATTGAAAAGGTCATTATCACTGTTTTTTAAACAAAATTTGCAGTTATAGCCTTTTACCACTTTGTTTGCGAATTGTTTTCAGAGACATGGCATTTTATTAGAACAATGTAGCAAAAAAAAAAGAAGATAATTGCTGCCAATTTTAAGAATAAAAAGTGACCAATTAAGCCTGTCCTGTAAAGGGATATTAGTTCCATCTTACCTCCATTTGTTTGTAGAGTCTTGGATTGTGAAACATGTGAAACTCATTAGGAGTCAGGAACCCATCTCCATCACTGTCTGCTAGATCAAATGATCTCTTAGATCGCTTGATATGCTGTAGCAAAATAAAGACAAAATATTATTCAATTCCGATACCAGGATTTATGTTGCCATTCACAGAATATATCAAGTGATTTGATGCTTCTCTCCTCATTTTGGAAGTACTTTGCTGCAGTATTTTCATAATCAACATTTTCAGGAACTGTCCATTTTATATGAATTACATGTATATTTTACTTAATAATTTATACCCAATAGTGTATACCACTCTCTCCAGCCAGCTTCATACCGATGTCTTAAATTATCTTTTGTTTTTACACTAAAAAAGAAGTAAAGTACATTAATCTCATAGTGTCTAGTGATATTTACTAGTATATAGCATGGTTATCTGACATATGCTTCAGCAACATCTAGCAAAGGCTTATTTTACTGAAAGTGTATGATGTGGGATTTTGGGCCTTTTGGAGTTAGGTTTAGGCTTTGGGTTTAGGGTTAGGTTTAGTGTTGTACTAAGGGTATATTAGTAATAATTTCCAACTTAAACTACTGTTATAAATTAAATTCAAAGCTTTTTTGGCAGAACATATATCATAGAATTATGGAAAGGTGACATTATATTATCCTCTGCATTTAGAAAACATTGATAGTACAGTCAAACCTGTCTATAGCAACCGCCCAAGGGAAACACAAAAAGTGGTCTTTGTAGACAGGTTCCTTCAGTACACATTTCAACGAGAAATCCATTTTCAAGGGAAACAAAACAAATGTGGTCTTTGTGGACAGGCGGTCGCTAAAGCAGGTTTGACTGTATCAGTAAATCAGTAATGCATCAAATTAAAGCCTATCTGCAGGTATCTCATCAAATCAGCTCTCAATTAACATAAGAAAAAGGGGACCATGAGGGATCAACGGGTACCGCTTAGGCATTGTTTGCTATATAGAGGGCGCAAGTAGCTACAAGTAGTGCAGTCCCACTTTAAGTCATATTTTCCAATGTACAAATTGGCTTTTGTTCAAGACACACCTTTGTATACTCTGCCTGGTTTTCTTCCATCTCCTCTCCCATTGCATAACCATAGACATGATCATGATACTCAAACCAAGACACCATCTTATCTTTATTCTCATCAATGGGATCCATGGAATTCACTGCATCTTCTTTATCTACCGTCAATAAAGCTTGGAACATCCACTCAGTCAACTCATCTAGTAAGGAAAGGAGATAGGAACCAAGAATAAAGTGACAGCTTCTTATATCTATATTCATTCTCTTTTTAATACATGTTATCATGTTATTTCAACATTTTTGTTTTTGTTTCTAATTTTAACTCGTAATGGAGTTCAAATAAAACTAGATGGAACTTCGACTGCGCGCAGTCGAAAATGATGCCTCCGTCATAGAGCAATTTTACAAACCAAAACAGAAGAAATTTTTCGAATTCAAGTTCAATTGTAATCCATTAACAGGTTCTCAGAATATTGTGATTACAAGCTATTTTTGCATACACAATGAGCCCATGACCTTTGACCTTATAAACCAAGAATCTACTCAGTTCATTGGCTCTGCAAGAAACATACATGACCTAAGTTGGCAGGAATCCATCAATCGGTTCTTGAGATAACGCGATCACAAGCTGTTTTTGCATACATAATGTGCCCTGTGGCCTTTGACCTTTGACCTTGTGACCCCTACATCTAATCAGTTCATCGGCTCTGCAAGTAACATACATGACCTAAGTTTGGCAGCAATCCATCAATCGGTTCTTCAGATAACGCGATCACAAGCTCGTTTTGCATACATAATGAGCCCTGTGGCCTTTGACCTTTGACCTCGTGACCTCAAAATCTAATCAGTTTTTCGGCTTTGCAAGTAACATACATGACCTAAGTTTGGCAGCAATCCATCAATCGGTTCTTCAGATAACGCGATCACGAGCTCGTTTTGCATACATAATGAGCCCTGTGACCTTTGACCTCGTGACCCCAAAATCTAATCAGTTCATCGGCTCTACAAGATACATACACGACCAAAGTTTGGCAGGAATCCATCAACCAGTTCTTCAGATAACGCGATCACGAGAACGGGACGTACGTACGGACGGACGGACAACCCGAAAACATAATGCCTCCGGCTACTTCGTAACGGAGGCATAAAAATTGTGCTTTATTCTGTAGCAATAAACTTGCATATAAGCCGAGACAAAATAAAAGTTTATTAACCCAATGACTGATGAATTCGTTGATCCCCATAGGCTTAATAGAAGAACCACCTGGAACCGGTTTCACAAAGCCTTTTTACAATGCAAACCTACAGGATAATGACGCAAATTGACAAATCCAACCCCAAGAATTATTTTCAGTTTGCTAACTATGAAAGAACAAGAGGCCATTCCATGAAGCTAGCCAAAACAAGAAGTCGCCTTGACATCAGGAAAAATTTCTATAGCCAGAGAGTTGTAAGCAAATGGAACAAGCTGCCACAAACTGGAATTGATGCTCCCACACTCCTCAGCTTCAAAAGCCAACTATCCAACCTGGGTTTTTAAATGGGTCCCGTGGGACCCCCTTAACCCTGCCACACCACACTATCTACGGGATCTTCATCACCACGATGGCGAGGTGTGGACTTCAAGGTATATTCAAGGTAATGACAAATGACAAAAATAAGTGACAAATCTGCTGATAACCAATCAGAAGCAAGGAGTTCATTAGCTTATAACCAAAACTGTCATTTGTCACTGATGACAAGTGGGTTAACTATTCTTACAGTATCTCATTTTTATAAAATTGTTACTACAATCTTCATCTGTTTTTAGTGAAATTAGAATCAGGAAGGTCACATAATAGTAACAATAATAGTAACAATAATTCGATAACAATACAATAATAATACTAATACTAATATTAATTCTGATAATAGTAAGTTCTTGTATAGCACTCATATCTGTCAGACTCGACACTCCTGGCGCTCCATGGTTATATTCCTGGCTTTGATGCTAGTGCTGTGGCAGGGATTCTAACCTGTATACCTTTTTGGTAGTCCCAATCCAGATATGTTACTACTAGACCACAGCATCTCTACATCTAATTAGACTAACCTTTACTGATTTGTCCATCTCCATTGGTATCGACTAGTTTATAAACATCTGAGAATACTTCCTTTCTCTTCTCATCTGAGAGACCTCTGAATATCTTTGCTCTTGTCTGTGGGGTCAAATTTCAAAATGATTTTACTCATGTAAATCACAGGTTTCTAAGTGGCATTATTGGTTTCTTCTCCATACATATACATGTATACCTAGGAGACAACTTCATAGCTCACTGGCCAAGACGATGGGAGAGCCATTATTCCAACTCGAAAACGAAGGGAGAATGCTTCACAAAGCTATCGCTATTTGGCTCCTGCTCTCACACCTCTCACTCTTTGACAATCTCTCTCTCAGTTTCATACTTGGCCTCCATGTAAAAACGTTCTACTACATATATGTGATGCCACCTTTAAACCTACCTATCCTTTTTATATGTGTACTACCAACACCTGCACCAACTGCAGTTCTCCAAACTGGAGGAAGCCAAGCAAAGAAGAAGAAGACCTAGGTATCTTCCAAATTCACACCAATATTCTAGAGAAAATTCTACACTTTACAAATACAATATGAAATTTGAGCTCTTAATTTTGTTGATACTGTAGAAGAATAAAAACACAAAAACACAGATAACTAATATTGTTATTCAACTATGTGATAAATAATCACAATACACATCAACATTTTCAGAATGCTTGATCCATACATACATGTATATGAATTTTAAAACGTACATGGTATATTTTTCTAGCTTTCTATAAAAGAACAGTTTCAAAACAATGTACAACAAGGAGTCAAACTGTTCCTTTGATGGATGAGCCACTTATTTAACATCTAAATATTGAAAGTTTTGAGAGAATTTTTTTTGCCATGTTTCAATATAAATGTATCCAGTATTCATATCTTCATAACATGAGCAAATGTGATTGGATAGTGGGCAGCATCTTCTTAGCGGAATATTTCTGAATAGTGCATGAATATCATTTATTCTTATATAGAGTAAACAATCAATCACTTACCTGTCCTCCAAGAAAAAGTGTTTGATCAAAAGAATCCAGATGATCAGCTCCTGCATAATGAGGGAGGATATCTTCAATCTTATGTGTGTCTTCCTCATTTAGTGCATTCTTTGTTTGAATAATATTCACCCCTATGCACAGTATCAGTACTAGTACTATGATAAGACGTGCCATGATTTCGCTTGCTCTTGTACAGGGGAATTGCTGCAGGGATAATAAAAAAACAACAACACATAATTATAACAACTATGAGAGTACTAAAGTTAACCAGAAAAAGAAGTTTACATATATATATCTCAATTTGCAATAATGTACTTAGATGTAATATAATATCAATATCTCATGGTTTTACTTGTGCAAACCATGAAAATTGATAAGGATTACACAATGGATACATTTATGAGAAAGCATTGTACTTTTACTCTGTAATCAACATGAAAAGATATTATAAAACAATGATGAAGATTGAGGAAATGATGTGTCATGCTATGAATATCAATATCAGACCTTAATGGCTTTGCTATAGTACAACGTACAAAAGTACAAAGTACTCTTCTTCTTCTCTCTTGTAGAGAGTCTAGTGACCACAATTATCTTGCAGAATGTTATGTCACTTTAAGGAAAATTTCTTCTTGCCATCAAATAAACAAAAAACCCTCTATCGATTCTCAAACACTAGTGTACAAAACTCAACAGAATTCACTTCAATTGTCACTTCAGCGACAATAAATAACACCTTAACTATTAAATAGCAGTAAATAAAATCAGTTAAATTCATTGATTTTGGAAAAAATCCCCCCCCCCCCCAAAAAAAAAAAAAAAAATTGAAATCTATCATCATCCCTGGCAAAATCTGAAAATGTTGCTAGTCTACATATTCATTGTGTGCATTTTTGGGTCACAGCGCTAGGGGACGAGTGCTAAAATCTCTGAGATAATTTGACCCACAAATAAAGGGTTTCCTATTTCAAGTTAATTCACAACATGTTGTTTATTTTGTTTTCAACCATTTATTTTATGGATGCCGAAGATCTATACATATTCCTTAGACCCTATATACATTGCGGGTGCCTAGTTGTCGATAAACATATCTTCTTTTTCTTCTTCTTGTTCTCCCTTCAGTTTTGTCGGAGATCAGCAATAGGATGTTGCTTGTGACCACTAGTTTTAACTGGGATGACGTGTACTTGTGTGCGAAGTTCCGAGACCCTATTTATAAGACGTATAACTAACGCAAAATACATTTTATGGGACTGAGCTAAGGCTAATATTCACATTAGCAGATACTAAATGGACCCGATAAGAAATATGGCGCACACATTTATAACATTTATGATACGAAAAGGTACTCAACAATATAAGTTCAATACCAACCATGAATACAGTGTAAAATAACAATAACAAAAGTGATACTCACAGAATACTGCGTCTCTTTTCCGCTGGACTTTTGCTGATTCTTTATTTCCGGTCGTAAGAAACGCGTACGCGTACGTTCAAAAGTTTACCTCTCAATTTGAGCAATCGGTGACGCTTTTAAAGCTCGTAGTATCTTTTTATGTAATAATTATTTCAAAATTCATGTAATAATTAAAAAATAATATATTGAAACTAATTATTAAATTTAAATTGTAAAAACTATAATGAATTTGGGTGTTATTAAATATTACTATATTTTGTACAAATAGTAATTTGCTTTTGTCGTCTGCTAGAAATGCGTCCGCGCGTACGTCTCATAGAGTTGCTCTCTCATTCGCTCTCATCTTATGATAATACATTAGAAATGCGTACGTCTATGTGTTTTTTGTACGTGCCAAGCCCTTATCCAGCTGCTGGGTCAGGACCTTTTGACAGTAAATTGACGAAAGAAAAACGTATATTTCTTCGAATTACGTGGTCCTTTGTATCCGATACTTCCCTTACGATTTCTTTTCGGCATTTTGTTTCGATTGGTAAGTCTTTCAATCATTAATTCAACGTTATTTTACGGAAATATGTGATAAGACATAAACAAAGAAAAAGAAAGACGTGTGGAGAGAGTGAGAGACAGCGACAGTGCATAGTGAACATGTGTAGTTGAGTGTGTATTGATGTGTATGCTGCTGCTGGCAAGTAGTGGATGATGTGTGTGGCGCTCTCGGAGCTCGTGGATGTGGATGAGATGGGAGTGAGGAGAATCATCTACTTAGCTTGTTTTTCATTACTTCCCATGTTTCTCTTCATTCAGCTAGTTATATTTCGTTTATTCATCAGTTCAAGGCATTTCACTGTCATAATAGGAACATTTTAAACAAATAGTGTTTGAAAAGTGGGGCGCTGGAAATGTGTTATGATTTGGCATGACCTTTTTTTGCAAGGGAATCGAACAAGGCGAGGGTATAATCTAGATCTAGTGTTTTGAAAGTTGAATAGACCCTATGTAATGTTCAATTTTCAGCTTGAACATTTTTGTAGATTGTATCTACATAGCTTTCAATTAAGAACTATGTGAGAAGTGCTTCAGAGTTAGATAGACATCACATCAAATGTGACTGTTTTGGTTTTATGTCAAGTTGACAACTGATAAGTTCATTTGCTGAGCAGTGATTGTAATGATAACAATGGAGTATAAAATAGGATCTACTTCTCATAGGCCTACTAATACTAGTCTAGGAATATGAGAATGTATTTCATCATATCAAGTTGTAATCTCTAATATCTGTTGGTTGAAAATAAAAATTAGTCAAGATTCTTATTTCATCGAGGAGTATATTACTTTGATTCACAGAACTTTTTTTCAGTATGTTGATGTACACTGTATGATGTACATACACAATATTCAGGGAAAAAATTAATATTTATTTTTTGGGGGCTACTTTTCAAGCTTACCTGCATGAATATAACATTCTAAAAATTTGTATTGAATTGAACTCTATGCAAATTTACAGGGGCTCTTTTCTGATTTTCGGGGGCTATTTTGGGCATTTCAGGGGCTAATTCGCCCCGAGCCCCAGTGTATTTTTTTCACTGACAATATTGCACACAGGGCACTACACTCTTCAATATACTTTATTTTTAAAGTTGGTAAATTTCATAATTTTCTTTCATATTGAAGTAGGTCTGAGTATATTTTTGTGTATTACATATTTTTATTATAATAAAGTTAACCCATATTTCCATTCAAAATATGATTATTTGTACTTGTAGTACTTGAGGTATACAAGATTTTGATAGTTAAATGGAAGTTAACTCATTGGAAAATAGAGTAAAAAACTATTGGATTTTTGGGCAACAAGATAATAATTTTATGTGTCAAAAACTCATAATGGTAATTTGCCTCGGGTAGTTCTTTGCTTTGTGCATATTTTTTCCATAAATACATGGATGGTACTGCATTCTGATGAGTCTACCCTGGATTTTAAAAAAAGATTATGGTGATTGTGATGTTAATGGTTATTATTATAATTATTGATATTTGTATCATTACAATCATCATAATTGTCATTAGTTTTATTATTATCAATATTATGATCAATATTATCATAATTCATATTATTATTATTTTCTTAATATTATTTTAGTAGTAGGCCTAGTAGCTTTTAATACTATCATAACATAAAAGCCCCATCTGTTGCTGTCTCCAAAGTTATGTTGAAGACGCACTTTTTTCAGGACCTTTCAAATAGTTTTTGTCATTGTGTATCTGTAAAGTAGCACTGTTCAGAATTTTGTTTCATCACAGCCAGTAGAATATATTTATATAGGTGCTGCAATATATATATACTGTAGATTGATCTAATTACAACTTTTTCTAAATTATAGCCATAATTGTGATTGGCTGAAAATTCTATTCTCTTTCCTACCTTGATAAACTAATTTGGAGCAAAGCAGACTGGTGAAAGTTTGAATGAAATTGGACAAAGAAATGAGGAAGTTATGAATCACTATAGATATGGGCTACCGGTATTCAAATTTTTTGAGTTGGTAAGCTTTGCGATAAAGTGGTGGACAGCTACATGTATGCCATCACATAAAATAACTAAAATTTTAATTTTTCACAAAATTATGACTTGGGGTTATGGCCGCTTTATGCTTTCTTTACATTTTAATCGATGATGTTATCTGAAATCCATCATATTAAATATGTTTCAATTAAGCTTATATTTTCCTTCTTTTAAAATTAGCTTTAATACACATTGAACGGTGTCAGGTGCACGAGTTGAAGTATTTAACATTAAATCAACCTCTGTATCAACTGTTTAAAGTTCAATAGAGGAAGGTCCATATGTGTGTTTTGTTAATTTGGAGTAGCTAATTCTGGTAAATGGCACATGGGAATGTGTGTGAACACAAATGCTGGTATTATTAGGAAAGGCTACCAGAGTGTAACAGAGAATAATGTAATTATAACTAGACTACCAAAGTAGGTAGTCTCATCCATCTAAATGACTAAGACCTTGTATGATGTTTATGTTGCCTTCGTTTCTTTTCATTCATTTTATGTACATGTACAGTACGTATACTTACCCCACCTCACTCCCATGTGTGTGCGTGTGCATCTCGTAATCCCCCTCGCCCCCTCTCTATATTGTACATGTATCTCTCCCCTTTCATCTCCCCCCCCCCCCCCCTCTGTTCCATACACAGAGAGAAATGTTTTGTACGTATGTATCTCACCCCCTCCTCCCTCTCTCTCCTCCTTTCCCCTCTCTCTCTCTACTCCTCCCTTTTCTGTTCCCCCACCTTCTTACTGTTTTTTCTCTCTCTACATTGTAAAGATTCTCACCCCCTCCTCCTCTTTCTCTCTCTTTCTCTTCCCCTCTCTTCACCTTTCTCTCCTCCCTCCTCTTTCTCTGTATCGTGAGATATACCGGTACATGTATGACACTATTTATGAGGAATGATGAATTTTACAGTCTCTGGGCGACCCATATAAATGTAGTTTATCTTACAGACAACCCTATTCCAATTGAGCATTTTCAAAATGATGATACTGTAAGTACAATTTCCAATTGGGGTAAAATTTCGAAAATGTGAAGACTACGAGATAGGATGTACTGGTAGTGAATCTTTTAAGGGATTGTTCAAAATAAAGGCATATGAGAAAGATTATTGGTGTACAACAACATGATGGAGTATTATATTTTTCAGCAAATTATATTTCATATATTTCATATTTGATGGCTCTACTATATCAGAAGCACTTCATCAGATTATTTTCTGTATTTCAAGTTTTCAACAAGGGTTGTTTCATTTGTAAAGGGGACCATTAACAAACTAAAAACTACACATCATTGCCTTAACCACCTCCCCCCCCCCCCCAAAAAAAAAAAAAATAGTATGAGACATTCAAATGGCAACAGATTAAAGAGCATAGAGTGATCTCACTTAAAAGCCAAAATCATTTTCTAAGGGTTGTGTACCAGTATGTACTATGAATGTTCTACTGACAATTTTTTTTTACAGTACACACAACTTATTTACAAAATACAAGTACAGTGTATTTTAACCTTTTTTTGTTAATAGTGAATAGTGAAGTGTTTCAATGTGTCTTCTTTGCTTCATCTTCATAAAGCGTCTGATGCACTATAGACTGCATGTCATGCATTTGTAAGACTTGATCAGGCTTTGAAAAATGTGGAGAAAAAAATAATGTTCATCTGAACTCTGAAGTTCTTGAATTATAAAAGATACCTAGAATTATATACAATTTCATTAAATGAAATTTCATCAAAATTGCCAATACATGGATGTATAGTATCTGAAATAGCACATGTATTTCCTTTTTTTTTTTAGATTGTGAGGTAATTGTAAAAATACTACTTCTACATCTTCTAGACATGCAACCAACTTCAAAACATACAAAGTCAAAGGATTGTACGTTTATGTTTATTTCCCATTCGTCATTGGTGGGCTTCTATACAAATCAATGATATATCAGAATATTGGTAGATGATTCCATTTGCAAGTTTCAAGTGGACATCATTAAAAGTAAGCCATCATCTCTATATTAGACAAACATAATAATTGATCAGTTTAAAACAAAAGATGTACATGTATTTCAGATTGGAATATTGTTTGTAGGTACATACTTTTCAGATTAAGCTGATCATAAGAACACTACCGGTAATACATATAAAAGAAAGAAATCAATTACAAATTGATTGCCTAAAAAGAGCACCCTCATTTTTAAAGGTACAGTAAAGCAGAAAACAATAAGCCACACATACTACACATGTATGTCTATTGAATTTGTAAAACACATACAAACTAATGGAAGTTTAAAAAAAGAACAACAGTTGTATATTTGCATTACATTCAAGACTTCAAAGTATTTTTAAAAGTTTGGTATGAATTTAAGTACATCCATGTACAAGTAATATTACTGGGTAAATGACAAGTAAACACGGTGCAGTCCTGATAATTATTTCTACGCTCTTTCATTAATGCACTCTTTCTATTGCTTACTAAAATTATGTGAAATCGTTTTAAACTATACCGGTAATCCTCATTGCAGAAGATCTGTATTTTCTCAAGTTACAGAAAAAAATCCAACCTGAACAGCGAGTTGTTCTGAAGGGAAGAAAAAAAATCAGAGAAACACACAAGTGACAGTTTGCACACCCAGGTAAATAAAAAATATAAATGTTTAAAAATAATATACAAATGTACATCTGGGAATTTAAAACTGACAATTTTGTAATGTCACTGTCATGTTATGTTGGACAACTCTCAATAGTTGGTTGCAATGATTTGAAAGTTTTGTATCACATCCAAAAGGACAATCACTGGTGATAGGAAAAGTGGCGGCTTACTTCAGTCTGCCAATTCATGTCTGAGGTAGACATATCTGAACTCTAGACATCGAAACTGTTACAGGTAAATATTCCTTTTGGATGTGATACAAGAACTTTTAAATCATTATAACAAACCTAATGTTACTCTCCAGTATACTCTCTCATACAAATGATCATTCTCTAAATATTTCATTGCTAAGATTCACATGGTTAAGAATTGATCTTGACATGCTATCATTCATAATTTCATACCGTTCTTAAGGTTTGTTCAGTTTCCAACATTTCATCAACCCCTTTTCTGATCTATCTGCTTTCACGTGCACATGTAGTTTAACTAAACTTGTTACAAAAGTTGGATTGCTTTAATTCCAGAAGACCAAGCACAAGTATTAAACAGAGTAATGTCAACAAAAGAAAGAGATGATGGTCCATTTTACTTAACAAATGCAATGTTATTTGACACTCTGCTGTGCATTGCCATGATTTTGTCTTGCAGCAATTCTTCTGGGCATTGTGCCCAAATGCTTCCCAGATGCTCTTGAACCAGTTCCTCTATACTTTGGGCTATACTAGACACTGTCGTCTCAAGTTCTACGGTGAATATAATGACAGCATCTTTGTGTGGAGCATTTTCATTGTCGCAGTAGCTGTGGAAGAGCATGATAGAACATGGTGGTAGCTTGTCAAACTGACGAAGGAGGACAACTTTTCTTCCATTGTTGAAGCCATTCTCGAGGTCGTTGTCCATGTCCAGCTTGGCTTGATCTGCTTCTTTCATGGCTTGCCAGCCACCATCAATGTCTATAATGCTGTCATCTCTCATTGTAAACACGTTGGAGTACAATCTAGCCACATCCTTTGCAACTACATCTAGGATAGATGACTTGGGTTGTCCTACGAGGAGTAAGACCACTGGTTGCTTGATTGTTCCATTCCCTTGTATGTGACCCCACGATGATCCTACAATCACATCCCAGAAAGTGTCATCTAAGGTTTGATACTTGGCCTTTACATGCTCTAATTCAGTCGTCAAGTTTTCCAAACGATATGCCACTGGCCTCTCATTGGATTGAACATTCTGGTTGCAAGTGGGGGGAAAACTTACCACATCAGTGCCACAACGAAACTTCACCACCAACGAAATACCGATTGCAAGAAATATGAATATCTGAAGTAAAGTAGGAGTAGGAATACTCTGTTTTCCTGTATTCTTCCTCCTTTCATATATCTCCTTACTGTCACATTTCATCTCAGCCTTTAATTTATCTGTACGACTGTCTTTACTGTTATCTGTAACAGTGACATTTCTAGCAGAAGCACCGGAAATCCCAGCATCTGTTTCATCAGCTTCGATGTCCGAAGACTTGATTTCTTTTGTCTCTTCATCATCACTAGCAATATCTTCGAAGTCAGAACTCTCTGGCTGACTGTCATCTGCTGCAATGTCCCAAGACTTGGTTTCTTGTGTCTTTTTCTCATCAGTAGTAATATCTTCTGTGTCTGAACTCTCTGACAGACTGCTTGGAAAGGTCTCTGATGCTTCCTTTTATTTTGAGGCTTCCCATCAGGAGAATTCTTTCTTGAGCGGAGCTCGTATCGAGTGGTCCTTGGCGAGCGTGACATCTGAAATGAAAACAAGAAACAAAAATTCAATCCTTGAATCTGACTGTGTAGTTGTCTAGGTCAGAGGTCTGTTTCTATCATCTTCTTGTTCAAGGCAGAAGATAGTTGCATTCATACAGCTTTATTTTGTTGTTTATCCATGGAGAGCAGTAAAAGTGAGGAAGAAACCCCACCAAACTGTCCTTTGGGAAAGCTTTGCCTCCTCCCCCCTACCCCCCCCCCCCCACAATAAAAATTATCTTGATGTAAAATAAAAGCTTTTGTCATCTTCCAACTTTAATAAATCATGTCTTTTATGAAATTCAGTGTATTCTTAATCTTCTTCCTCAAAATAAAGCTGAACATATGTTCAGGATTATGTTCCACTGATCATCTTCACCTTTTTACAATACTAATGGAGCTAAAATGTGAGTTCGCCAGTAGACTCTTGTTCCTTCTCATACAAAGCACTTTGAAATTGGTCCAGAATTCAACTCAAAATGTGAACATTTGATACTAGAGTGATAGCACTTTGATAACTTCCCACACTTTCCTAATAATAATGAGCTAACATGGGATTTACGTTACAAAAACACTGACCTCTCGTGAGAGTTTACAATGTACACAAAAAAAGCTCTTTTTTGTGTTGCCAATTTACTTCCGGCGTGTATGCAGGAAAATTGCAAGATTCAATGAATTACATGTATGTGCGTGCACCTTAGTATACTTAATTAATGGATATTATCCAAATCGGCAACACGAAAACAGCTTTTCCCTTGCTTCGAGCACTGCAGCAGAACCAACATTGCAAATCTTGTGAGAGGTCAGCATTTCTGTAATGTATTTCAAAGCGCTTTGTATGAAAATAAATAAGAGTCCAGTCCACTAGTGAACTCCGAAGCTAGCTCCGGAGTGCAAGGTTCATCGTGTGCAGGAATAGATTATAAGAATCCTTTTTAGGTTTTGTTGACAATTTTACATCACTCTTCGTGCAGGGCTATCGGTGCCAATTACAAGTGTATAGGCCTACAGTAGTACAGGGCTAACTTCATGCACGCTTACGAGCCCACACTCCATCGTATAACGCGGTTTGCACCTGTATTGTGCAGCAGTTTGCCATGAATCCTGAAATCCTGAGAATGTGTATAGACCTAAATCTATAACTAGATGATAGATCCGCTAAGTCTTTGGTTTTCTAGGGAAAATACTTCAAAAAAGATAAGAAAATTGACACGAAACAGGTAAGACTAAGATTACATAACAACATTTAAATCATGACCATTGTTTGAGCAATTGTTGAGGATTTAGTGGATTTTTGGTATTTTTTAGTAGGGTACCTCCTAGACCGAAAGCTTCAGTCTCTCTAATCGTCGGTTGTTCCACTGAGACTACGTCTGGCTCCACTAGACCTCCGATTACAGAGACTGAAGTCTGGGGACCTCTTTCTGTGAGGCACTGTACGGAACAAATGGTTCGGTTCGACCGGACCGCGATGAATGAGATATGCAACGAGATTTTCACTCTTTACATCCTCATACATGCTGCAATATGACAATAATTTAGAGTCTAATTAAAAATAACATATATATAGCTTATTTGACTTACGATAGCTTGCTCATTTAGATCCTAAATTAATGATTAATCCGAGAAAGTCTCGTCGTCAACATAATCCGTCTTGGTTTTAGTTGATGAATATTCATTTTTTCTTTTCGAGCGTCCAATAGCTACCGTAGCTACGTACGAGTCGGCCCAGCTTGACCAACGAACTCCCACGAAACGAGTGCTCTGATTGGCCATTTGGCTATGTTTTGGTAGGTGGACCCGGAAATATATCGGCCGCCGGGTAATATTTCGAATGCATGAACGTACCGTTTCACAGTTCGGAAATACAAATTGGATAATTCATATAAGTAAGTCCGTAAATTATACATTTAATATTAAGTTATCAAATTTTGATAACTGTAATTAGGACAAATGACATACCGACCTAATTTACATCTGATTTAGAAATCAGAAAATTAGATCTAAATAAAGAAAATCGGGGAGAAAATTTTTTGACACAAAAAGCTGCCATTGTTGGCTATAGCTACCCCCGCGGTACGAGATCTCTGGGTTGCCATCTGTATTGGGGAATGACAACAAATGTCAGTTTTATTAAAGAAATGACCCAAATCAGATGGTTATTGCTGTCTAGGTACCTCCACGCCGGAGTTACGGGTACGGGTCAAAGTATGGGTACGATTCTGAATAAATTAGCGCCCTATAAACTTGCTACACACAACACAAATTAGCGTCTACGGGACCGGGCCGGAACTGAAAGCCAAGGGAAGCTACTCAGCTCACGGGGTTACCTGAAAGAAGAGTGATCAAACACATGTATATTAATTCAATGTATAGCGAAACAACCAAGGTGATTGAAAAAATATTGTACGAACCTTTTACGAGTATTCTTGGCCACACATAAGGTCAAAAGATGCCAAAAGAGGTCGCGTTCATAGGTCAAGCTCGTGGGGAAATCCAAATAACAGACACCTCTCGGTTAGCAGACGTGAGAGGGCGGTAGAAAAAAAGCAAAGCTCGTGTCCCTGAGCAAAGCAAAGTATAGCATCAATACAAATGTAAATAATGTTTTTTTAAATCAAAGGTTAGAACCGAAGGATGAAAGATTAATTCATCAATTCAGACTTTGGAAATTTAACTTGAATTACTATAAATATCTAATTAGAAAACACGACACTGGACTATGTGTAGAATGCCAGACGACAGAGACAATTGAGCACTTTTTATTATCATGCCCAAAATATGAAAGACAAAGAAGGAGAATGTACAGAGCACTATAGACCAAAAATCAAAATCTAGGTCATTTACTAGGAAACGAGGAATATATAGGAAAGGTGGAAGCTTTTTTAAAAGGCAGTGGAAGGTACAACGAACTGTGATGGTCAGCTATAAAAAAAAAAAGTATTAATTACGTTTTGCTATATATTATCTATTAGTGACAGACTGACAGTGGTATCCTTGGTATAAATTGCTTCATTATATAAATTATATAAATTGCTTCGTTATACGGAGAGAGGCTTAAAACTAACGTCATAACGTAATGGACTGATCGCAACTAATATTCAACCACTTCATCCTTTCCTTCCTAATCAATTCTTTAAAATAACAAGCTGTATAACAATACAGAAAATAACTACTAACAATTTACTGACATTGTTAATTTCATAAACACAACGCCACTAGGCTATCGTCGATCCAACATCAGTAACTACGCCCTCTCACATTGCCTGGCGAAAATCATCCAATGATGATGGAACGCCATTCATCTCAACAACAACAACAACAACAACAATCGAGGGTTAGTCGATCTTGCATGAAATGAAGGACGGGCGCTGCAAAGATTTGTTATTTTACAAAAATGAGGAGGAGGGTTTCCAATTCTATGTTTCATATTTGTTATTTATCTTGTACGTAACAATGGTATATCCGTATAGGGTCAGTTTGAACATAAATCGTATGAATTGCATTTACTTTGTCCAACTAATAATAATAATAATAATAATAATAATAAATAATAATACTTTAAGGGCTACAACTAATAATCATAATTATCATTATATTTATAGGGCGCTTAATACGGGCCTTTTCCAAGCGCACGGGTGGTATTTCTAACTCACTATACTTATTCAACAAGTTTAATAGATTAAACGCAACAAAATATAATAAAATATTACTAATAAAATACAATTCAATTGAATGGAATTAGCTACTTGTGCGCGCCTCCAGTATTCTATAACTGATTAAAAATGTGGGTTTTGAGAATAATGATTCATGTTATCTATATGTCCTCACATTTACATTTATTTTCATTTCACAGCCAAAATATCAAATGACAAGAAAAGCAAAAAACGAAGTGGGGGGGGGGGGATCAGAAAGTAATTGTAACTTTCTTGCAAATGTCAAGAAAATGATATAATATACAGGTTAGTTAGTGACAGGCCCCGAGGAACATTTTTCAAAGTGGGGGGGGGGGGGGGGGGGGACTCAAAGTATTTACAATTAGGTAGAGCGTAGCGTAAATTGGCATGGGGCCTAGTAAGTCTGTTGGGTCCAGAGGGTGGAGCCCCTGGAAGCTAAGTGGTTTTTAATAGGTATTTAATTACGGTCAGATGAGTTTATTTTGATACTTTATTTGTAACACTGACAGGTCGCTATAATTTTGTTTAATGACGTATAATCGTGGTCTGAAGCAATATTTCATACAAATGAGACACTTGTCAAAGATTAGAAAAATTAAAGTTTATTTTTATGAGTACAGTTTACAGGTGAAAATTACTTCTGTTTGAAATATAATACAAGTGAGTGCCGTATCGTCTCTCCTTCTCACATATTTCTAAAGTTTGTGGCAGATTTGTTTTGTAGAGCAGTAAATATAGGCAAGGGTCGCACTTGGCAAAAACAAAATTGAGTTTTTTTTTTCCGGGGCCTTAGTTTGGACCCTCGATATTTGCTTGGGGATTAAAATGCTCATTGATGTACCTAAAACACGAGGTTAAGGTATATAAAGCACGATTCATTTTGTGTTTGACAATTGATATAAGTAACACAAATAATCTCTCAAATCGGGACTGTACTATTTGTAGCTACGTGCGCCCTCTATATACAGCCAGCAAACAATGCCTAAGCGGTACCCGTTGACCCCCCCCCCCCCCATGGTTCCTTTTTGATGAGACAATCACCCGTCAGTGACCATACTTCCTTGGGTATACTTGGGTGTAGAGACAAGCTTAGCTTGTTTGTCCCTCTTTACTGTTGCAATTGTTTCTCCAATACCTTTCTAGGGATGACTTGACCAATTATTTCAAATTCAATTCAAATTCAAAGTTTATTCAACACTCTTCATAAAAACATTTAAAACATACAAATACAGAATGGAGTTAAAATATAAAAAATTAAAAAAAACACAAGAAAGTGATAACAAATACAATGGCAATTTATAAGAGCATTTGGGATAGGGAGAAAGGAGGGAAGTTCCTTATATAAAAGCCTACCCCTAAAAACACACATACAGGAAAACGAGAACAAAAAAACAGAACAAAAACAAAGAACATATTAAAAGTTTAAAACTTACTATCATACAAGATCAGAGTATAAAAAAGATGTCAAAAATTTGCCCATACAATTGATACTGATTTTTATACTTGTTTAACAAGTAGCTTGTTTAGCTTGTTGTCCCTCTTTACACTCCTTATTGAGAAACTATACTGCCTAAGTCTTGTATTGAAACGTTGTTTGACAATCTTGAAATCATGATCATGCAGGGAGGTATAATTCCTCCTTGCCAAACTAACGCAGATAGGCTTTAATATAAAACCAACTAACCCATAGAATTTAATGGCAATCATGTCTGAATTTTTCACATTTCGTCCTTGCATTAAATCCCTTTACGTCTGAGAAACTTAAATTAATTTACATTCTATACGGTGCATCAGGTCAGTTCACTAAAGCATATCGGCCTCCATCCCTATAGACCACTTTGATAGGCTTTTAACCATGTCTTTGATTTGCTATGCATACTACCCTTCCTTTGATAAGCGTTCCAATGTAAGTTTTCCGTTTCGAGGACGTACGATGTTTTCTTTCTTTCTTTCTATTTCTCTTTAACAAACTTTTCCAGAGAAGTTGGGGGGGGGGGGGGGGGGGCTTGAGCCCCGCCGTTCCGTGGACCCTGAGTGAGGCATGCATTAGTAGGCATATTCATTGTTTGGATGTTAAGAATTCTATCCGTATCGCAGTATACGAGTAGTATTCCCCGTCCAATTTCGTTTCCTTTAACTGATTGATTTCTGAAGATAACTTAATTTGACAACTCTCACGTCAATAATAATCGATATGAAATCAATAAATGTGTATTGTAACACGGATCAAAGTGGATTTACGATAGTGGTTTATTTTTCATTCTTTTAACCCCACTTTGCGGCTTTATGGGCAGTTGGAACTATCTACCACATTTATGGAGACAAAACAAATCAGTACACTTTACATCAAATTTTCGCGGCAATGTAATCTTAAATCATTTTGCGTATACTCATTTATTTTCCAAGCTTGATGATATTGCATAAACATTTACTAGTTCTTATTAATGAGTAAATTAATGAGTAAAGTATGAGGAACTACAGCATTACTATTTTTGTCTGTTTAGCCGTTTAGTCCCCCATCCCTCATCCCCCATGAGGTTAATATGCATTAAAAATGTGCCATATTTGTCACATTTTACACGTACTTTGTTTCTATTATTAGCCTACTAACAATAGCATCTCCTTCCAAAGTCGAATGGCATAAAGAGATACAAGAACTGCATAAAATATATACAAACAAAATATGAAATAGAGAGAGGACGACAATTTGAGAGGGGGGGGGGTGAGAGATACAGAGCCAGACATATACAGATAGAGATAGAGGTATTAAGAATAACTGAAGGGGGCTTTATAGACTCTCCCTCTTCAGAAGAAGACGAGGGATACTTTTAGTTGTGTTATTTATACAGGGAAGCATTGACAATGTGATTTGCGAAGCGAACCATTGCTCTGGCATAGTTGTATCAAACAAAATGAAAAGGCCCGCATCCTGTGCAAGACCATTACACTTACAGGACAATCATCGATAATCAAGATAGTTTGGTTTTTCTATTTTGGAATAGGCAGTTCTTTCCAATGTAGGGTCGTAAATATGTGAACTATTCAAAGATTCGCGGAAGGGTATACCCATAATCAGTTTAGCCTTTGTATTATGTAATATTAAGGGTTTATCCGAAATTGTTTTGATGAGGTATTTGTCCATGGAACGTCGCAATCATCTCAGAGTATTCTTAACAACTTCAAAATGAAATTTGGTAATACGGGTTTTGGAGATTTCCTAAGAACACTATTCGTTGAATGACCTCTCTGGAGATTGATTGATTGATTGATTTATTTATTCATTTCATATTACAATTGTTTGCACAACAAAGAATATGGTTGACAAAGGAAGATCAAAATTATGAAATGAAACAGGAACCTCCTGGAAAGCATAGCTTGTTTTTGTAGGTTCCCAAGAATACATATAATATGAACATTATTATCATAAATCATTTTTAAAGTGTCTTAATAATCACAGTATAAAATAGATATAATGTAATAACATACTTTCGTAAACCATTTTAAAGTATCTAAATAATAATAATATTTTTTTTTTTAAATGACAAAACGGGACACAAAGGACAGGAAAATTACATAAAAAGTAAGACAAAACATGATAAACACGACAGGATGGGACAAGACACACAAAAGGACATGACAGGACAAAACAAGACGAAAACAAAACTGCACATAACAGAAGTTAGAAGAAGAGATTGTCAACATGTTATTTCCACAAGTATTATTGTTGATTGGGCATTGGCCCAATGATCTAGAAAACACTAACTATTTCGATTTACTGATTTGAGAAGATTACATTTGGAAATTCTGCAAGCTTTATATATATACGGGCGCATAATATAATACAAACAATGACTCTAATAATATTTTCTTCAAACTTAGTATCAGCTTAATATGAACCAACCATTCCTCTTCCATCAGGTGTGTGTATGATTAAGGCTGCGATGCCGGAGTACTCGAAGTACTCGCACTGTTGATAACTACTCGAGTACGATTTCTCGTACTCGAATACTCGGCCGCCATTATTATTTTTTGCCGTTCACCTGGCACTGTCCAGGCCGACGCTTACCCGTGCCCGGGAGAGCGCCGGCATGGTACCGTGGGTAAAAAAATGTTTCCCAGCTCAATCACTGTCAACTCAGAAGCTGGGACCAACTGTCCGGATTTCTGTTTTGACTCGGAGATAAATTAGTCTGTCATCTTTGGTTTTAAAAACAGCATTGTTACTATTATTATCATTAAATCGGTGCTTTCAACTGCAACTCTAAATAAAATCGCGTGAGTTTTCAGAGACGGACCTGGGATCTACCGTAGTATGGTAGTGGCAAAAAACCACACATGGCGTCCGAGTATTCGCCTGTAAGCCATTCAACCCGATTTAGCAAGTCTTATCCTATCATCAGCATACACAATTACACTGTAAATTATTGAAACAGACTACACGTAGTCTGTTGAGAGTTAGAAGGGCGTTAACTCATGTACTACGAAATAGATTTAAAGCCTTTCTGGCTCTCAACTGACTACAAGTAGTTTACATTTTATTTTGTACACTGTAAAGAGTAAAGGTGCTATCTCGGATTTTTTTTATATCGTCAAGATTTTACAGTAACACTATGGGTGGTATTCTCGAAAGTGGACTAACTTTAGTACATGGTTTAATCCACCGACTAAGTATGGAATGCCAAGCGTCCATATGAATATATTTTTGAATAATTTGATATGTCGCTAAATTACCATGATAACATAATTATATCATAGTTATATTGTTGGTTATTAATATATAATAACATTTTATTTTAATTTAGTGACAGATTACATTATTCATAAAGGTATTCATATGAACACTTGGCATTCCTTACTTAGTCGGTGGATTAAACCATGGACTACAGTTAGTCCGCTTTCGAGAATACCACCCAATGTACCACCCAACTTTGTGCATAGTCTATTTCTTAATGATGACTATATTATTTGCAATACGGCTATGCATTGCTACCATTTTAGCAGGTGTGAATTCTTCAGGACACTGGCTCCACCCTTCATTAAGCTGGGCTTGGACTGCCTTTTCATCAACCATAGCCTGTGTGTCTTCTGCCAATTTAGTATTAAGTGTCATGGTAAAGATGAAGACTGCGTCTTTATAAGGAGCGCTATCGTTATCACAGTAAGCGTGGAACAAAATGGCTGAACAAGGAGGTAGTCTATCCACATCGGTAATCAGAACGACGTTAGAGCAGTTTTTGAAGCCTTCTTCGATGCGACCATGCACTTCTTTCTTCACTTCATCCGAAGCGGATTTCTCAAGGTCTGCGCCGACGATCCTTACGATGTCGTTCTCATGATGTTCTGGGGAAAAGACCTTTGCGTACATCTTAGCGACGTTGCTGGCGACGTCATTGATGTCAGTCTTGCCTCCGTGTTTCCCGACGAGTAGCAGTACGACTGGTCGTACGAGTTCACGATGTTCTTCAACGTGATCGAACGACGCACCGGCGATGATAGAAAGCTTTGATTCATCAAGACTCGGGTGCTGTTGGTGAAGGACATCTTGCTCCTGCATTAAGACATCAAATCGATCAGACCGCTCTCTTTTCACACATCCAGCACGTCCAGGTGAATCCAAGAAGGACCCAATATCTTTTACAATAGTTTGTACAACATCGGTCTTACCAACATCCATCTTTGAAGTATGAGGTATGAAGGCCAACGAAGCCAAAACAAAGGCAGTTAGCAATACCAATAGCAAGATGCAACTCTTCTTGCACATATGAGAAGATGATACTCTGTCTTCTCTGCTTGGGGCGCTTTTCCTCTCCATTCTATTCTTGCTTGTATACGTTGAGTTGGTGTATGTTCTCTTGGTCTCAACGGTTGGCCTGGCTTTGTCCAGCCAGGATTGCTGGCAGTGCCTTTGCCGACTCTCAGGACGAACGTCTACATGAGATGCTTTGGTAACACTTTTTTTGTAAGGAGTACTGGGTCTGATATTTGGGCGAGGGGAGAGGTATGGCACTCCCCTTCCTGTCGTTCGAATATCACGATTCATTTTCAAGGATGCACTATCTGCCTCGTCTAGTACGGCTGTGTCTGGTTGGACCATGGGTTTCGTCTCTTGTTGCCTTTTACTGATACGCTGCTCCACCGACCGGAAACTCTTAGAATATCCATGTTGAGTCTTGGATCCTTCGGGCTGCAACATGGAAGTTGGAAGGAAAGTGTCACTGCTGGGATCTTCTATCGTCTCCTCTGCACAATCCATGGGTTCGTCCTCGTCTGTTTCGTCTTCCTCTGTTTCGTCTTTCTCTGTTTCATCTGTCTCTATTTCGTCTTCCTCTGCTGTCGAATCTCGATCGTCGTCATCTGGTTCATCGCGACAAGCTTTCGCTGTGATGGCAGCGGTGTCGTATTTATCGTCTCCATCGCGCCTAGTTTCCGAGTGCGCTTCTTCACCCCCTCGATGTTTCTTCCTTTCCTTCTGCTTATACTGGTCAAGTCCAGTTTCCAACTCTGTTTCCTCATCCAGTTTTGGTTCCTTTCTTTTCTTCTCCTCTTTTGGGATGGGCCTTTTCCTTTTTCCAGCCTTCGTATCAGACCGTACTATTTCAGTTTTGAGCTTCTTTTCGTCCAATCGTTTCTTTTTTGCCTTCAGTGCAGGTTTGATGTCCTCCGCACTGTCTTTGACGGCCGTCTTTCCTGTTCTTTTTCCTTTTCGCTCCATAGTTAGTCTGAGAGGTACACCTATGTCCTGTTTGTGTGACAAGAGGATAGTTCTTGTTAAATAGGTTAGCAATCACCCTGATCTTGAAGTACTCTATTACACCAAAAGTTCTTTTCCCTTGAATGATACACGTATTTATGATAATAAATATTCGTCATTTTTTTTTAAAAGTATTGTGGCAAAATGAATTACCCACATGTATACTCCCCCAAATTCACGAGAGTCGTGGATATTGTCTTTGGCAGGTGAACAGTTACTTTTTCTATCTTTGAGTTAAATGTTTTTATATCATTCTTTGAGTTGTCGTTCGCATTCGTATTATATCCGATGTATCTAGTAGGGGTATAAAGGTTAGGTTTTTAACCTCCTATCCCTATTTCTTGGTTCATGTCCCCAATTGACCTTCACCTAAACAAACAAAACGTAAACTTGGTGAAGGAAGTCCGTAATCAGAAAAGAGTATTATCAGAATTATGTATATACTAACTATACTAACTGGCTGAATGGCATATATGCAATGCTGTTAGGATTACAACTTATATTATCAGAGCGAAAGCAGAACTGCCCTTCCTCTGTATCACTCGGTATCACTACCACTCGACAAACCGTTTTAATCTCAATATTGTTCTGTTTCTTATCAATGCTTGCCATATTGTTCACAGGATACACACCAGACTAAGTAATACATGCGCTCCACTATCACGTACACATTTGGTTTCTTCCTCTCTCTCTCTCTCTCTCTCTCTCTCTGTAATGGCGGGCTCGATCGTTCATTAATGTGGGGATTCCCCCAAATTTCTTCTTCCTCCTACTGAACACACACGCACACACACAGAGCAAAAGGCAGTTTGAAAATCGATCTTGAAATTCGAATCAAAATACAATTTGTATCTCTCTCTCTCTCATGATATTATTTAATGGACAAAGAATACAATGAATGTAACAGTGGCAGGAACGATAATGATTGTGTACAGCACAGTACTCACAGTAGTAATGTAGTTTGCTCAGTAGTTCAGTGTGATGCTGACATGTATTCATAGAGCGTTGGTATATAAGCGTATGTGGACTAGACCAATGCCAATGGCACGCTGCTGCGATTGCAATTTCAAGTTCAGTCTGGTACGTGTGTGTATGTGTGTTAACGGCTTGTGTCTACATTGGAAAGTTACAGGAGGTTCAGGGGCTGCTCCCCCCTTTCCCCTCATAATGCATTACTCATGTCCGCGAGTTATATTTACTCATCTACTCTTTCGGGCTACGCCACTGATATGAATTGGACTATGTTCTGTAAATTTGATTTGTGTATCCTCAATATGAAACTGAATGAACATTAATCTAATAATCCAACACAGACCAATTAATGTGCGCGCCAGACGAACATAGTCCGATCAAAGTTCACGTAGTAGCTCGTATGTATAATAGGTATACGTTTTGCATGCATGGTTGTTATAACTCCAGGAAGTGAACAAGAACATTATTGAATCGTTCCAATATTATCATTCTCTATATTCCATATTAATAGATAAGTTTAATTTGCAATATGTATACAAAATTCGTATGTATATAATAATGCGCTTCATTTTCTGTTTTATGATATAGCCTACGCATGTATATGTCAGCAAAGGCAATCACTACATTATTGCGCAGTATTAGAGTGATGGGGTTATTACCATTAGGTCCAATGCCAATTCGTCTAGTACCCAGCCCGTATTCCCACTTCGTATAGCCTAGGTCTAAACTGGTCTAATATTTTGTCAACACACTACATTCGTTTATTTCCCATGAGGTGCAATCATTACTTCTTTGTTACTCTCTAGTCGATTGATTTAATGACCATTAATGAGCTGGTAATCATTAATTTTTATCTGTTTGGAGCTAGATGGGCATAAAGCCATGATAGTTTAAAACAGAGGCCATGCCCTTCTGTTTATATATCAACAAACCATTTTGTCTGGTTCGTAATTGGTATCATATTCCAGTCTCGCGACAAAGCCATCTCTAACCCTTACCTGCAGTTTTAATTCGACCAGGTGGATGAGATAGGTCAATGAGTTCTGAGTTGCAAACTAAACGATCTGATGGCCAAAATTAGCATATATCGTTTCTCATACGGGCATTTAAACAAGGTGACAAGTTTGACAAGTAAAAAAAAATAAACTTCATGGAGAGTGATGAAGTGGATCTAGACTTTAGACGAATTGACAGATATGAATTAGATCAAATGGGAATTTATCCTTTACACGATAGAAGCATTAATTAACTTCGTTCAAGCCGAGAAGGGGGTATATTGACAGATAGCGCTGGGAACATGTAATTATTAGTTTCGTTGAGTGGTGATAAGTAAATGACACACGATCACAAGCTAGGACCTTCGAGAAATCATATCATATGTATTGCTATAAGATATCATATTCTGATTATGTAATAAGGCCATTGAAGGAATACTGTTTACAGTTTTCATAAGATAATGAATAATGCCTTCACTTATTTTTTTTTCTTTGGAATCGTGTTATGAGTGTTCATAACGGTATGATAATAAGCACGTTTTATATATCTCACGTTGATCTTTGCTCCCATCACACCACATGTCATGCACACTCATCATGTTTGTCATTCTATCTATTCGTTATTATGATATCATGAAAGGCAATATTTATCTTAACCAGAGAGAGAAAGGGGAAAGAGAGAGGACAGATAAGGGATAGGTGTGAGGACAGCAGTAGGGATGGGCTCTCTCTGTGTGAAAAAGAGTATTACTTTTTTTTCTTTCCCAAAGCATCCTCGTATTTCATATCGGCTTATATCGCAGAAAAGTGGATATATCTTTTCGTGTTTTATCCATCTCTCATTCCTACGCACAGTTCGTGATTCGACATTCCTCATTTGTTAACTTTTATTACATTTTTCGTTGCGATCAACTGTGAAGGCTTTTATTAGAGAGTATAACTAGAAATTCGTTTCACCGCCCCCTCTCAGTTTTGTAACATATCTGGCCATCTGCATATGTTTACAATATCGATTGTTCTATGAAACTATTTGTGGAATGTAGGTTAAATCTCGTAGGAGTCGATGGCGTGTTATTTCTATGAGACTGTTTTTTATGTCTGGAAATATTTGCACAGCACTCTGTGTGATTCTTTGTTCATGTAAGCATATAGGCCTACATATTATTTTCCTGCATGAGTCATTTGCCTATGGTATGTGTAGAAGATTTGTGAGAAGATTAAATTTTATTCTTTAGTACCATGTACCTGTAGTAATTACCAACGCTGGTAGCAGCTGATTGAATTTTTATTTTCCGCTGTATAGTATGTGTAGGCGTTTCCAAACTTGAAAAATATGACAATTTTAAAAACATTACACACGCCCAGTAAATCGCTTCGACTTAGGATTCCATTAATTTGATTTCCAATATATTTTATTTCGATCACCCTTGCACCCTTTTTTTTTAAAAATCAACCTTTATTTCTTTATATTCCAACGTTTACACTTTATAGGCTTCGTCCCTATATGTACACTGTTGCTCAAAAAGTGGGAATAAATGTTCTTATCTCTTTTCATGAGAATAGTATCATTAATTTTTGTGATAGTAAAAGGTGATATATTCTCAGAACAGTATTGATCACTCTATTTCTGGGCCTATCAGAACAAATCATATTCTCACAATCACTTCACGTAAAGGTGTCCACAAATATTCAGATATTATGGTCAACAATGTCTCGTCTCTCTCTCTCTCTCTCTCTCTTTCTTTCCGCCCCCCCCCCCCCCTCTCTCTCTCTCTGTTATAGTGACTGGGGATATCTTATAGGAGCTTATGGGAGCGGTCACATACGCCCCCGCCTCCCCACCCCATGACAAACAAATTTGAAAATATCGGCCCCCGGCCCTGCTTGCGAGTGTAGCATTTATTAATTTGGGGGAAATTCAGCTTTCAACTACAATACCTTCTAATAGTTTTGTATGACGTCTTCTAATACAACAAACTTTGTACACGCATGTATAATTACATTGCTGTTATCATCCAAAGTATTGAGATAGCTTTTTGTTTGAATTGTTTGCGGTCGTGTTTGAAATTATAAAGAAACTTCTTATACCATTCCCTCACTCTCTTGTTAATCCCCCTTGTCTTCCTCTCCATCTCTCTCTCTCTCTCTCTCTCTCTATCTCTCTCTCTCTCTCTCTCTCTCCCTCCCTCGCTCTTTTTGGTCTGTGCTATCACTGCTATGTTATGCTCTGATTCCCGTTCCTTTGATGGTTGAGGGACTATAGTCAACATCTCACGTTCACAGTACACAATCTTCCATAGCTTCTATCTACTTGGTCTTACGTTTTTCCTCTCTTGACATAATGACGAATGATGTTACAAGTATACACATAGTTGTGAAGGCAAGCTGATGTGATTTTTATTGCTACATTAATCAACCAGGCATTGTAACGAATGCAACTATGAATAGAATGGATTTCTTTATAATTTGGCATATGCATACAATTTAATTTTACCTAATGTAATCAATCAATCTGACTCACAGCGACAGCTTTTAATGCTAACACATGAATGTAAATGTACTTGGTAATAATGTTCATATGAGAGAAAAGGGTGCTAAGGTATAGTGATTTCAATGCTAGATGTGCAATTAAAGATAATCTGAAAGTTTGAGTGAAAACGGACCATTATTGATAAAAAAAAAATAATTGGGAAAACTGGTCTGATCGATTCCTTAATTCTCCCAACTATATTATTTTAATTAAATTAAGTTTTAGGTGAATTTAAATAGTTACAAAGCAATGAATTGGCTCTATATACCATTACAAACATGTAAGTGTTGAAATATTTTTAAAAGCCTGTTTAATGTCTTATTTTTTTAATCGAAAAACGGTTGGGAATGTTCCAAAATTGGTTGGAAGAATTTACTGTTAGAGGGTGTCGCACAGTGACGCCTTCAAACAAAACCATAAATATCTTTGTGGTTTGAGAATTTTTAAGGATTTTGTCCATGTTAGAGGGTTAGTACAATGGAAGTAGTATATTAAGTAACATTTAAACCAAAATTACGCAGTTTTTTCGTCAACCTTCAACAATATTACCGAGTCACTTTAAATTACTTTACATGGCATGATCAATCAATTCGGTTGCACCAATACGGAAAGATTTCTTTGTAAAACGCTGTGGCTTTGCAAAATTACCCATTTTCAGCTTTGATTAACTCCATGAAAACTTTTTAAACACTGGTATATATGTATAGATTAGTCTTGCACTGGAAACAGTTTAACAATCTTGAAGCCTTTGGTACATGATAAATACAGGGTGGCACAGGGAGATTATTTATATGTGTGGCATACAAAGAGTTAATAACATTGTTAAAGTAATGCGGTAAGATCGGTTTCAGATCGACGTAGTTGTTACGTGCACAATAACTGTGTAAGAACTCTCGAATAATTTTACATATTATATGTATGAAGCTGAATTTGAGGAGCCATGAACTATTCCAGAAGATAGGACAATATCTATACATTCATTCATAAATTCAATATTAGAAGTTTTGTATTGGATACTCATAAATATCTATGAAAACTACTTCTAGGCCTACTCCTAGACCTAGTCCAAGTAACAGTATAAAGATTATATGTTTGATTACCACACCATTATTGTTCTATAAATATATATTTCTTCGTTGTGCAAAGAAGAATGTTGTGTAATTCAATGGCTTTTTGCTGATACTTAAAGCTAATATATACCGGTAGCATTTACAAATATGTCATCTACATTCTTTTAAATTGCAACAATAGAAACAATAAGATAAAGTCAGAACCTATCGCAAACTGAATATTAGAATGACTCGTAAGATCTATCAACAAATGAAAGAGCATGAGCACTGCATCATTGTTACTATCATGTTTGTTTTTTAATTTAACATTTTCAACCATCAGTCTCCACGCTCCTTTCTTTCGTCAAAATATTCCACCACCGCACACCATACAAACACACCGCCCACACCCTCACATATAAACACGCAATCACTCAAATGTAGGTGAAATATTATGAATATACAATTATAGATATCGCTGACATTTTATGATATAATTCATTAAATATTTGTGAACAGATACATAATATCATATGTGTAACACAATGTGGTACCCCCCCCCCCCCCAGGTTTGTCTTATAATATGAAGGATCAGGAGAAGTCAAAATCATTGCTTGGTAATTTAATTAATCAATCATGACTATGTTGTTGGCGAGACGACTATTCATTGCTGCAATTTTGTCTTTGGGGAAACTCTTTTAGACATTGACGCAAGTGTTGCTCAAGAATCCCCAGTTTGCTGGTGTCCTCCGGGAAAGAATCTTCTCGCGTGAAGAAGAAGACAGCGTCCTTGTACGGTGCTCCCTTGTCAGTCACCCTGGTCAGTCACCCATGTCCGAATGAGCGGTTTCGTCCGGAGCTGGAACACTCGGTGATGCTTTGGTAAAAATGATGAAACCAACTATGAAAACTGATATGACGATCAAGGTTACAATAGATCCATATTTCCAAATAGATCCATCTGATGACGGTGCTGGACCTTTGTTTTCACCTTGGTCAGTTGCAGACTCACTCGGGGTATCCTTACTTGCTACTTTACGTCGGGTTAGCTCTGTACCTTCAGACACTTCAGCAGGTGTTGGTATTGTCTCTGTCCCTATTGCTTGGTCCACTTCATCGGTACCTTCGCCTTCCATTTGAAGTTCCTCAACTCTATCTTCGTCTTGCTTTCCTTCTTTCGCTCTCATTTCTTCCTCTCTAACCTTTTCTTCTTCAGCTCTCTTCCTTTCTTGCTCTCTTTGCCTTTTCTCTTCCTCTCGTTTCCTTTCCTCCTCTATTTCCCTTTCTTCTACTCTTCGCTTTTCCTCTTCTGCTCTCTTCATTTCTTCCTCTCTCTTCTTTTCCTCCTCTCTTTTCTTTTCTTCTTCAGCTCTCTTTATTTCTTCCTCTCTTCGCATTTCCTCTTCCTCTTCCTCTCTCTTCTTTTCCTCCTCTCTTTGCTTTTCTTCTTCTGCTCTCTTCATTTCCTCCTCTCTTCGCATTTCCTCTTCCTCTTCCTCTCTCTTCTTTTCCTCCTCTCTTTGCTTTTCTTCTTCAGCTCTCTTCTTTTCTTCCTCTCTCAGTCTTTGTTCTTCCTCTCTCTTCTTTTCCTCCTCTCTTTGCTTTTCTTCTTCAGCTCTCTTCATTTCTTCCTCTCTCAGTCTTTGTTCTTCCTCTCTCTTCTTTTCCTCCTCTCTTTGCTTTTCTTCTTCAGCTCTCTTCATTTCTTCCTCTCTCAGTCTTTGTTCTTCCTCTCTCTTGTTTTCTTCCTCTCTTTGCTTTTCTTCTTCAGCTCTCTTCATTTCTTCCTCTCTCCGCCTTTCCTCTTCCTCTCTCTTCTTTTCCTCCTCTCTTTGCTTTTCTTCTTCAGCTCTCTTCATTTCTTCCTCTCTCAGTCTTTGTTCTTCCTCTCTCTTCTTTTCTTCCTCTCTTTGCTTTTCTTCTTCAGCTCTCTTTATTTCTTCCTCTCTCCGCCTTTCCTCTTCTGCTCTCTTCATTTCTTCCTCTCTCAGTCTTTCTTCTTCCACTCTCATTTCCTCCTCTCTTTTTCTTTCTTCTGCTCTCCTTGCCTCTTCCATTCTATTCCGTTCTTCTTCTCTTTGCCTTCCTTCTTCTTCCACTCTCATTCTCTCTTGTTCTCCACCATCATCCTCCATCACTCCGTTCACGTTCTTGTCTACTTGGACTTCTGCTGTACCTCCATCTCCAGGACCATCTTGCTCCTCTTTCTCTCCCGATGCTTGAATGTTTGACGCCTGTGATATCCCATCCATGTTTTCTGAAGTTGTACTCTCTTCAGGAGTAACATCCTTGGCATCAACAGCTACAAAGTCATCAACTATAGTATCCATACTGGTAGAAGATTGTCCTCCTAATTCTTGAGGTTCTGTCACGCCCTCCTCACTCTGTTTCACTGCTGCATCAGTCAAGTCAGACATCTTGAGTCTGTATATTCACGAATACTGTGATGGAAAGATGAAAACATTGGACATTATTTCACTTCATGATTATTATTTTTTTTTTTCATAGGTTTTTATTCTCTTCTCTCATAAAGAAAATTGTACATAATTTATAACATATTATACAAATAATCTTGACATAGGCCTAAATAAATTTGCAAGTGAACTTTAACATTTCCATACAAGGTTACAAATACATTTTCGTATAAAATATATTGCAAATAACGTTACACATTTAAAGAAGAAAAATATTCACTTGCATATAAATTTCGAATTATTTCTTTTCTCTTCCACAATATTTTTCATCGGCTGGTCAAGAATTGAAAAGAAGTTATATATTATGTGTCTATTATATATAGAGGGGTCACAAAAGAAGGTAAATTCTCAGAAAGGGCAGTTAGAGCCGGCGGATGACCGGAGATCCATTCATATCCCACAAGACAGATAATACTAATCAGTTAATATAGCCTACAAATCACACTCCACCAACCAATGCACTCCAAGTCTTACAATGTGCTCATGGTTTGTCATTCCTCTTGCTCTAAAGATTTTTCATATGGGTATACAGAAGCATCCTGATCAACTCTATAAACCGTAAACGATTCGAAGGGGGGGGGGTGTTGGAAAAGTTTCCCTAAATTAGTCAACGAAAAAAAATGAACAAACTTTCAAACAGGGAAAAGAAATTGTCGTCACATAACAAGTTATGAACAAAAGTGTCCAATAATTTCTATTGCTGAATAAATATTAAATTAAGTAATCCTGACTGCAAATTCCGTGACCACCCCCCCCCCCCCACTCCTTCCCTATATGAAGCCCCTCTGAGGGTTAATGAATAATGCAGTTGACAGAGACGTTCATGCTCATTCAATGGCTGTTTCCGCTGATACGGTTACAATAGATTAGGCTGTTTGAGCCAATTCCAAATCAAATGCCTTCAATATGTGTGCACTATTAGTGGCCATGCAAGGGAGTTATGGCTTAAAGGGATCCGGTAACTTTGTCTTGGATCCTTTAGAAGTAATCCTTGATTTAGCTCATGCTGCAATGATAATTATAAACCTTTGGGTCAATCAGGAACTCCATGACTTTTACAAGCCGATCGCCTGTCTGATTATCAAGATATTAATGATCGGAATTAACAAATTTTGAAAACCGTTCGCCGAATGGTTTTCATAACACTACAGTCTATTGGGGAAAACGAGTATGGTAAAACCGGTCACTCAAAGATTTTTACTTTTTTGAGGCACTTCTTGATCATTTTGAAGCGCGATTTTTTTAGGGCTTCAATATCACACCATATCACAGACATTGGTAACATGTAGGACCGTGTATCTCAGATTTAACATTGTTAAACGATCCCTTTAATGATTTTATTTTTAATTTGATGAAACAACGTGATAAAATGAAGAAGAAAGCAAAAATAACTAGGAATGAAGATGATTGGAAAAGTTATAGAAAGATGAGAAATATTAAATTAAAAATGCAAAGAAACGATATTATTCTGATAAAATACGTGACTGCCAAAGTTGTAAAAATTCTTGGGAAATTTTAAAGTTATTGTGCCCAATAAATCGACAGATTCTATTATTAATAGTATGAATAGTAAAAATGATAAAATTGCTAACGAATTCAATGAACACTTTGCAAATGTAGCTGTTAGTATATGTACAAATTAATATGTTCCTATTTTAGAAGAAAGGTCTGTATGCTGTGAGAATTCTTTTGAATTATCCCCTGTTGATATAGTTGATGTTCTTAAAGAAATTTTTGCTTTAAAGAATAAGAAGTCTACTGGTGTTGACGGGATTAGTACCTTTATTTTTAAACTGTGTGGGCCCGATATAGTTCGAAGCATCACTTAAAAAATAGGTCAATTAGCGAAGGTGTGGTTCGAACTAGGTGGAAAATAGGCAAGATAATTCCATTATTTAAGAAGGGAGAGATAAAGCTAATCCTGATCATTACAGACCGATTTCTCTTTTAATACCTTGTGTGTCGAAGCTTTTGGAAAGAGTTATACAGCGGCAACTCACCCGTTTCTTATCGAACAATAATATTTTGGCCAAACAACAATCGGGGGTTTAGGTTTAATCATTCGACGATCACTACACTTATAAAAGTTACGGATGATTGGCTCATGTCACTGGACGAAGGCACGTACACAGGCACTGTTTTTGTTGATCTTCAAAAGGCTTTAGTAGACCACGGAATTTTCTGGCAAAATTAACCTCTTGTGTTGGTCTACAGGGTTCATCTTCGAATTGGTTTAGAAGCTATTTAAAGGTACTATGTCTCATTTGCAGGCCCCCCAAATGAAAAGGTTAAATTCGAACGGCATTTGAAAGGTAATACTAATTTAGAACTTACCTAAAAAAAGGGGGCTTGAAAATGTCTTTAAGTGGGAAAATAACGACTATTAGTTGTCGAATCGATTTAGGAGCTATAGAGCCAGTAAGTAATAGTCTGATTTTCAGACCATTGTACCGAATGGTCGTACGTTGTATGCTGCGCAAAGATTCAATCAGTTTAATTTTGGCCATTATAAGAAGTGGGTTATTGATGTAGACAAGTGCTCATGTACTCTTTACAGCTCATGTTATGTATGTTATTACCAAAGAAGAATAGAAGGCAGCCAGTCACTCAATAGTGTCTGACAGTGAAGTCTAGCAAGTAAAAGTGTTTCCTTGCATAATTTGAATATTAGGACATTGCTAACGTTAAAATTTCACAGATACGACAAACATGACATCTTCATAATTCCTGCAAAGTTCTACAGAATTTGATGTTGGCTGCAAAAGGGACAGAGTATCTTTAAATGGTAGACGCATAATAACTTGGATTAATAATCGTTCGTTGGGTACAAGATTAGCTTGGGGAATACCCAACCCCTTCACCCTAATCATGTCTGCTCTTGAGGAAGCCCAAAATGTTTCTACTACCCCCCCCCCCCCCCGACTACCCCTCAGATACAACGAATAGGTATGAAATCAAGACAGTGCAAAGTAATTTCCAATATTTCTTACCAGTTAGCTGAGGTTGTCCGTGTATTGCTGGAGATATCCAATTGACTTTGTATAAATATTAGAATTGTCACAGATATAGTCACAGACAGAATTGTCTCTATAGTACCGTAGACGATCAAGCCGAGAGTAATACTGCGATTGCAATGAGTGGGCTTCCTTACGCGTCATCGCTTGCTAACGTGTGGAATGTATACAAGTCTCGCGAAATAGATGGCGTACTTTTGATAGAGAGACGGAGAGAGTTTACCTCTCCTCACATAATGGTAGCTAAGAGAATGTGATACACATGTGGTATATAATACATGATGAGTATGTGGTATATTATATGATTATTATGTGGTAGATATGAGGATGGTTTCACCTAGTGAAAGGAAACCCGGAAGTAATAACTTGCAGTCAAACGAATGAAACCTGACCAGTCTTAATAACTTTGATGTAAACTATATACGCATAATATCGTAAATTTAGAAATAATTCATTCTTCTGTTCTGAAATAAAACTCAACTCTGATGCTCATTAGGACATTATTATTCTGAATAAATCTAATTGGAGCCCAGAATTATTTCCAAAAATAGCAATGGAGTGGTGTAGATCCAACCATTGAGGATCGATGCACAGGTGTAGGGGGGGGGGCAGGGAAGTGGCGGGGAAGGGGCGGGGGCACTTGTCTCATTATGTGGATGTAATGACAAGGATATTAAGAAAGAGAAGAATAGGAAAGGAATTTAATTCTATTTATTTCATGTTGTATTTCTCTATCTCTATCTCTCTAACCATCTCTTTCTCTATGCCCCCACTCCTTGTTATTGTAGGACTCGCACCGTAACTGGGGAGGGTTTATAATTTGTATACTACAAAACAATGTAATAAAAGCTTATGGGAGCGGTCACACACCCCTTACCTCTTCCCCATGACAAAACATCGGCGCCTCTGCTTGCTAGCAATCAATTCCACACAATAGCAAATTTATCAACTCGGGCAAAAAATTTAGCTATCAACTGCAATGCCTTTTAATACATTATTATGACCTCTTCTAATACAACAAGCTTTGTACATTTGTACTTTGTATTGAGATAGTTTTTTGTTTGAAACGTTTTCTTAAGATATGCGGTCGTATTGGACATTATAAAGAAACTTCTTATACCATGCTCACTCTCTTGTTAATTCCACCCCCCCCCCCCCCCCCTTGTCTACCTCTCCATGGGCCCGTTCCTAGAAACCGTCATAAGTCTAACTTCTTGACTATCCCATTGAAACGTGTGTACGCGTTTCAATGGGATAGTCAAGAAGTTAGACTTATGACGGTTTCTAGGAACGGGCCCCAGATCTCTTTCTCTCGTCTCCCCACTCTCTCTCTGTTTCCCCATCTATCTCTCTCTCTGTTTCTCTCTCTCTCTCTCTCTCTCTCCCACCTCTCTTTGGTCTGTGCCATGCTTTCCCGTTCCATTGATGGCTGTTTTTCTTCAAGAGGACCAGAGCAACATCTCACGTTCACAGTACACAATCTTCTATAGCTTTCTATCTACTTGGTCTTACGTTTGTTCTCTCTTGACATAATGACGAATGATGTTACACGTATACACATAGTTGTGAAGGCAAGCTGATGTTATTTTTATTGCTACATCAATCAACCAGGCATTGTAACGAATGCAACTATGAATAGAATGGATTTCTTCATAATTTGGCATATGCATACAATTGAACTTCCTAGCGACAGCTTTAAATGCTAACAATAAATTTAAATGTACTAGGTTACATTGTTTAGATGATAGAGAAAGTGTGCTAAGGTAGTGACTTCAATGCTAGTTAATGATATTAATACAAATTGGGAAAAACTGATCTTATCAACATATTTTTAAAAGCCTGTTTTATGTTTTATTTTTATGGAAAAATGGTTGGGAAAATTCAAAAATTGGTTGGGAGAATTTACTGTCACAACCACTTTACTGTCACACAGTGACGCCTTCAAAGAAAACCATAAATATCTTTGGGGTTTGAGAATTTTTCAAGATTTTTTCCATGTTAGAGGGTTAGTACAGTAGAAGGAGTATAATAAGTAACATTTCATTACAAAATTACGCAGTGTTTTTATCAACCTTCAACAATATCACCGAGTCACTTTAAATGTACTTCACATGGCATAAGCAATACATTCGGTTGCACCAATTGACGGAAAGATTTCTTTGTAAAACGCCGTGGCTAGGCAAAATTACCCATTTCCAGCTTTGATTAACTCCATGACAACTATTTTAACACTGGTTTATATATATATAGATTAATCTTGCACTGGAAACAATTAAACAATCTTGAAGCCTTTGGTATACCTATCGTATTATAAATACATAATCTTTATGTTGTTACTTTGACTAGGTCTATAGGAGTAGATAAATAATCTCCTAGTCAAAGTAACAGTATAAAGATTATATGTCTGATTACCACACCATTATTGTTCTATAAATATATATTTCTTCGTTGTGCAAAGAAGAGTTGTATAATTCATTTGCTCTTTGCTGATACTTAAAGCTAATATATACCGGTAGCATTTACAAATATGTCATCTACATTCCTTTAAATTGCAAACACTTTTTTTTTTTTTTTAACAATTTTTTTTTTTTTTTTTTAACAAACACACATAACCACACACACACACGCACACACGCGCGCGCACACACACACACACTCACGCACACAGGCGCGCACACATGTTTGTTGATATTCGATAGTTGATATGTGTGGCATGATAAATCCTGTTAGGGATGTTATATTAATCTGCAAAGACCGAGTTAGTACCCTTATCCCAATTGTTTTATTCAAACATCACATAAGCAACTTTGGCGCAAGTCGATTTTTGCACTCTCGCAAACAATGCCTCATGTTCATCCAAGCGTGAACACATACCACACGAAATGATACCAAATGATTTGGGATAAAACACTCTTTCACAAGATGTATAATAATTTACATATAGATATAGATAAACATATGCCAAATAAGGCTATTTTGTTTTTTTGATTTGATGAAACATCGTGATTAAATGAAGAAGAAAGCAAAAGTAACTAGGAATGAAGATGATTGGAAAGATGAGGAATAGAGTTACATATGAAATTTAAAAAAGCAAAGAAACGATATTATTCTGATAAAATACGTGACTGCCAAAGTCGTTACAATTCTTGGGAAATTTAAAAGTTATTGTTGCCTAATAAATCGAAAGATTCTATTAATAGTATAGAATAGTAAAAATGATAAAATTGCTAACGAATTTAATAAACACTTTGCCAATGTAGCTGCTAGTATCATTATGTACAAATGAATATGTTCCTATTTTAGAAGAAAGGCCTGTAAACTATGAGAATTCTTTTGAATTGTCTCCGTCGATATAGCTGATATTCTTAAAGAAATTTTTGCTTTAAAGAATAAGAAGTCTACTGGTGTTGACGGGATTAGTACCTTCATTTTGAAACTGTGTGGGCCCGAAATAGTTCGAAGCATCACATACTTAATAAATAGGTCAATGAGTGAAGGTGTGGTTCCAACTAGGTGGAAAATAGGCAAGATAATTCCATTATTTAAGAAGGGAGATAAAGTTAATCCTGATCATTATAAACCGATTTCTCTTTTAATACCTTGTATGTCGAAGCTTTTAGAAAGAGTTATACAGCGGCAACTCACCCGTTTCTTACCGAACAATAATAGTTTGGCCAAACAACAATCGGGGGTTTAGGTTTAATCATTCGACGATCACTACACTTATAAAAGTTACGGATGGTTGGCTCATGTCACTGGACAAAGGCACTGTTTTTGTTGATCTTCAAAAGGCTTTCGACTTAGCGGACCACGGAATTCTTCTGGCAAAATTAACCTCTTGTGTTGGTCTACAGGGTTTATCTTTGAATTGGTTTAGGAGCTATTAAAATGGTAGACACATAATTACTTCGATTAATAATACGCTATCGTCAGAACTACCCCTTACACACGGGGTATCTCAGGGATCTATTCTCGGCCCCATATTATTTCTTATACTTATTAATGATATATGCCCTCTTGTTTTGAAAAATGTTCGGTTCACCTTTATGCAGATGACACCGTTATATATTATTCTGATAAAGACCCTTGTAATATTGAAAATGTTTTGAATATTGAATTGCATAAGTTATATTCTTGGATGTATTGTAATAAGTTGAAAATAAATTGAACTAAGACTGTTGGTATCCTGATAGGCACTAAATATATGTTGAACAGACACAGTAGGTTGAACTTAAAAATAAATGATAATGAAATTGTTAAAGTTGACAAATTTAAATATCTAGGTATTTTTAGTGAAATTCATGATATTTTAAATTGGGAAATTTTAGAAAATAGACAAGTTAGGCACAGTTATTCTTTGGTGTATAAAATGTTTCACGATTTGGCACCTGTATATTTGAAAGAGAACTTTGTTGTTAAGACTACAAACTATATGCCATTAGATTTACTAATTGGGTGGTATTCTCGAAAGCGGCCTAAGTTAAACCTGGCCTAAGTTAAACCGTGGTTTAGTTAGGCCAGGCTTAACTTAGGCCGCTGACCTAAGTCATTTTCATTTCTCGAAAGGTGGCCTAACTGATCCATGGTTTAAACCTGGCCTAACTTAGTCCATGGATTATTCACCATGGTTACGGTTTCTGCACATGCTCAGTACCGAAGCTGCGACGTCACAATGCACTAAGACAATGGATGCGCGCAGTGTGGAGAGGATGCATCACCTCGACAACTTGAGCAATATGACGTCACAATGCACTAAGACAATAGGCTAAGACAATGGATGCGCGCAGTGTGGAGAGGATGCATCACCTTGACAACTTGAGCAATATGACGTCCAGGGGCGGCGGAGCGACTTCCAAAGCGGGGGGGGGGGGGGGGGGGGGGCAATAACAAAAAGGGCACTTGCGGGAATTGTATCGTAGTTAAAAGGACAATTATCAGAGGTGAAAAGGGTCACATATCACACCTGAAAAGGGGCATTGAACATATTTTAATAGGGGCACTTATGAGAATGAAAAAGAGGCACTTATAATAAAGGAAATGTGCATTTGTTGAAGGGAAAGGGGCACCGATAATTGTGTTAATAGGGGCACCTCTCAAATTTAGATAGGG